CAAGTAACATCTAACTTTTGACTGCTTGTATTGATGCAGAACCTGAAGCCTTCTCTGTGGCACAAATAATAAGCCAGAACATTTGACCTTTGGAGGAATTTTGTCCACTTTACAAGTCACTTTGGCAATGATCAAGCGGTATTTCAGTTCTTAGCTGAAAGCTACTTAGCAGATAAGAAAGTGAAAACGATTGAAAAACTGAGATTTACTAGAGAGCAAAATTAACATCTTCCCATGAGCCTGTAAGAGGGCATGGTGTGCATGCACAGGTGTGTTTCTACCCTACAGATCCCATGATAGATTCCAACTACACTCCCACATCCATCACTGAGTGGAGTCTTTGGTGGTGGGAAGTGGGAATAGTCATGAGTGTTTAGGAAAGTTTGGGTTTGACTTGCCTTTTAGGATTTGCAAGGCCAGGCAGGTCTGGGCATTCCTGACAGTGTGTGGAATGGAGAGAGGACTGTGTGTGTGTGTGTTTTCTCTCCTCTCCCCTAGGCTGGTGTCACAGAAAACCTGACTTTACTGCAGAGGAAGGGAAAACAGTCCCATGTCCCCTTTTCTTTGAGTCTCTCCAACCAGTGTGTTTACACTGGTAGTTAGAGGGAAACAGTTATTATAGGAGTGTGTGTGTGTGTTTTCTCAGCGCGATAACCGAGTCTTGGTCAACCACACACACACAGTCTTGCGTCATTCATCTGTGGGACTTAACAACATGAGTCTCCTATCAGTAATCAGGAAGCTCATATGAAGAAGGGACAACAGGGAATGTGTGCACTTTTAAGAGTTTAAATAAATGTAGAACACTCTTACAGGGTTAATGTTTGAATGTTTGAGGCCCCAACAACACCCATCAATTAGATTCTGTAAATAAAAGCCAAGAATATCTGACAGCAGGAAGTAGACACCAGGATGAGATTTCTAAGGGCCAGAGGGCAAAACACTGACAACTGAATCAGTAAATAGAGTCAAAAATATGGCTAATATACATGTCATAAGAACAGGGTATCTTTTTAAGCTATTTTAATTTTATATGGAAATGGATTTGAGCTCAATTCAAAAGTGAAGTGACTATTAGTGATTGAGAATAGCCAATGAAAAGCCCTGAAAAAAAGTTCTAAGTTAAAGAAACCAGTCAGTCTTGACTTCAGCCAACTACAAAAATCATTTGAACATTCAAACTCATCATTGAGACAAGATTACTATAGCAAATTCCAATACAGGGAGACTTGTATTTGTTTTCTAGAATATGATGGCACAGTCGTTCTGCTTTGTTTCAAAATACTCACACTCATGAACAATTCTTTAAAACAAAGAAAACTGCAAAAACAACAATGAAAAACGGCTCGTTTCCCAATTACCATTAGTAAATAGGGAAACGAAAAACAAAACGTTTTTCGTTTTGATATTAAAAAACGGAAAATGAAAAACAATCTCGTTATCCGATTTTCTTTGATGTGTTTATAGATGGAAATCGGAAATTCAAATAAGAGTGTATAAATCTTTTTCCTCAATTTTGCATTGAGTTTTTTCGGTGACCCAGAAGCCATGGTAAGCAGTAAGCAGCTTGGGGTGCTGTAGCCTATATGCGCACATGACAGAACTGAAGAAGCCCCTTGGATGAGGGACAAATTGTCTTCCAGTATCTTCAACCAAGTCCAATTGTCCTTGACTTTAACCTTTGTTGGATAACTATGACCTCGGGGCGGCTGTGGCTCAGGAGGTTGAGCGGGTTGGCCGTTAATCGGAAGGTCGGCGGTTCAATCCCTGGCTCCCCCTGGTTTCGTGTCGAAGTGTCCTTGGGCAAGATACTGAACCCCGAATTGCCCCTGGCGGCTATTCCGCTAGTGTATGAGTGAGTGTGAATGTTAGTTTATCCGTTTTGTGACAATAGGGGTGGGTGAAATAGGGTGAAGCGTCTCCAGATTAAAAGAGATGCTGTGCGCATTTACGCACGAGGTCCAGCAGAATAACACAATGTTTAAATCTCCCGAACCGCCGACAGGATCAGTCAGAATCTAACATTAATGAATGTTCTGTGTTCTTCTCCACATCCAAAACGTCTCACACACAATCCAGGGTACACAGAGAAACTGTTTGGAATAAAGCAGCCATCCTCCTGATCAATCCTGAGCTCCATTAGTGCCTCTAAATTGTTTTGGAAGTAGAAATCTTTTTCTTCTGCCTCTGCCCTGTCAAGTTTAGAAGTACAGGTTTTTTTTTTTTCTACATAAAGGATATTTGCTGTGACATTATTGTGCCCATGGTAATGTTTAAAATGACTGACAGCAGCCTCTCTAATCATGAAAGTAAACTGTTAGACAAAACACTAATACATCAACACAATAAAGAAATCACCTGGAAAGTGATAAGGTAGAGATGGGATAAATCTGAGAAAATCATTAGTTGGGTAGAGTACGGGTGGATGATTTATGTGTACATGATTATTCAGATATTGTCAGAGCCGATCCGCACATCACACCAATATAGCTCCTATAATCGTGACAAAACAGTGCAAACAGCTGCTGACATCAAATTAGTAGGCTGCAATATCAACCAGAGCATTCAGCACTAACCTGTTTTATTTTAAGTTGTGGTTTAGTAACCATAGTGCCCATTATGCAGTCTGTAGCCTACATGTCATTTGCACACTGTGTGCCTCCCTGTCAATAAGGGGTGCTGCAACACCCTCCGCACCCCCTTTCCCGCTTGTAATTAAGTAATAGGCTATTTTCCACCGTGTTTCCACCTTGTGATGGCCTGAATTAAAACAACACACTAAGAATGCACATGTTGCAAACACACAGCGTTACCCTATTTACTAATGGTAATTGGGAAATGAGCTGTTTTTCGATGTTTTTTTCATTTCGAAACGAAAATCCGCCGGCCACAAAGTACACGGACCGGGAACAAACTGAATGATCAAACTCCATTGGCAATTGTTCCCTGAAAAAAAGTCATGTTGGTGCAGGTCAGATTGACTAACTTTTTACGTGTAATGTTTTTTGTAGCCAAAGAATATTTAAGAAAATTACACATTCATGAATGATATTTTAATTACCTCTAATTAGAGTGTTTAAAGCATTTCAATGTTCTTTTTGGTGTAAATGAGAGAACAATGTTGTGTGTGTTCAACATATACTTTGAGGCAGGTGTGTGTAAATTATGCTTTCCAGTGTGTGTGCCTTTCTGGTGACAGGAATTATGATTATGTGCGTGTGTCATACAGGGACTTCTGAAATGGCAGCAAACCTTGCATGCTGCTTTGTGAATACAGACTACAGACAGCAAGTGGAGTTTTGACCAAATAAGACCAAAGCTGGACTCAACCCTCATTGTACTAGCTGTTAAAAGGAGCCTTCAGTAAGCATACAGGTAAAAATTAGCAGATATGTAGGGCCCACCCCCAAAAGAATGTCTTTTAAAACTTACTGACAGTGCAGATACAGTGCATGTGCACAGCGTCACTGCACAAACACTACATACCTAAATTATTTTTAACCAATGTAAATAAGACAAATTCATGTACATTTACTGATTCTGAATCTATTATGCACATTCACACATAGGGAGGAGCACAAGTACACGTAAGTGCAATTGTGGGGAGGTTATAAAAGCAGGTGACCAGAGGGTTTCTGGCTTGAATCCTGTAACAGCAAAAATTTTAAATTTGGCAAGAAATTCTTATATATAACAAACTGTAAAAAACTGCTGCCAGGGGGAGCTAGCCAGCAGCCTGTGTGTCTCTCTCTCTGTGTCTCTCTCTGTGTGTCAACTCCCTGTGGATAAATGAAGATTTAGATATCCATGGAAACAGTAACACCAGACAATATGTATAAGTCTGGTCATGTCACTTGGTGGCACAGTCCGAGACATTAATAATAACTAACAACTAGAGAGGGGTAGTTATTGGTGCATCCATGTCAAAAACAAAGAAATCTTCTCTATCAGTCTCTGGTTACCATTAACGCCAAGCTCAAACTCAAACCAGAGCCATATTAGTGGTCTGACTCATCCTACCCATACACTCAACAAATGAGCACGCTAGGCATTCGTGATTTTGTGTGGTAGGGTTTGGTTCATGACCTTTGAAAACACAAGGATTCCAAATAATGATTTATTTTCCTTAAACTACTGTGCTACAATATTTTATGTCTGAAAAAAACCAACAACAAATAATTCCACTAGTCTATCTATTTGTGCCTAAACCCCTAACACTAAAATATATTTAACATAACTGTACATGCAACTAATAAATAGTGGTCCAGTCTCTCTCTGAAAGTGGGTGTCAATGATTTTAAGTGGTCTGATTTTGGAAGCATGCAGGAACACCTAAAGAGTCTAGAGCATTTTAGATTTACATTTTTTAAGTTGTTGAATAAGTAACAGTCACCATGCTCTGGTGCCTGTGCTTGAAGGAAGAAGAAAGAAAGAGAGGGAGAAAAAGCGAGCAAGTCTGGGCATGTTTATTAAGCGTGCTGGCACTGTGTGTGTGTGTGTGTGTGTGTGTGTGTGTGTGTGTGTGTGTGTGTGTGTGTGTGTGTGAGTGTGTGTGTGAGAGAGAGAGACACAAGCCTGCTGATTAAACACAGCACAATTTGCAAACACCAATTACAGACTCCAAATATATAGTAAAATCACATATTTGCATATATAAGGGATGTCACCACGAACAGGTATGTCAAGTATATGTGTAGTGTACATACTGTATGGATTTACACCTCCTGACACTAGTTTACATTGTGGCAGCACTACTGCTTATTATATGAAGAATTGCTACCAAGTGTCTGAGAGAAGAAGAACAGCACTACTGCCACCTACTGACAACTTAAAAGAGTTCCTATAAAGGAACCATTTACTAAATACAACATACCACAAGTTGATGTATAGAAGCCAGTGATTAACATGTCATTTTCACTTTGGCCTTCAAGTGCAAGCTTGTGTTTTTGTTTAACTTATTAAAAGTCATTTTTTCTGCAGCAAGTCTTTGTGTGTCTTACTGAGATCCTCGGCCAGCTGGACCCGGCGGCCAGTGATGAGCTGACTCTTCCTCTCCATGTCCTCACCGAAGTCATCCAGCACCTCCTTCACGTTTTTCTCCAACCGGCGCACTGAGAAGTAAAATGGAGAACAAACACACACACACATAAAGCATAGCAATCAATATTAAATGCACAACAATGCATCAGATTTTTTCTCTCCATGTTTCCATTGAACGGTATGATCAACACATTTCACAATCCTTAAAATGGTTGAGAGAAATCGTCTATTCCCACAATAAACATTTCATTATTGAATGCTTATCGATGATGGATAACTGGTTATGAATCAGCGCTGAACGATTTTGGAAAGATATGTAATTGCGATATGATTTGTGATAATAGGGGAATTATCATTTTTACATCATCATTCTCATTGAAAAACATATTACAAAAATTTTAGTGTGATTTTTGTGGGGATCAGTAACAAACAAAGATGTTTTCTTAAGTCTCTAGAATATGATGTGTCCCCAATCCTTACCCTCAGTATTGGTGAGCTGCTGTCGGAGAGTGTTGGCTGTGATGACAAGCATCCTCTGGATCCTCCAGAACAGTACCACGTCATTGCATTCCAACTGGAAAAAATTTAGGCACACAGCTTAGCTTTTCACACATTGACCTTTAAATGTAGCTGAAGATAAGGTGGACAAGAAAGGCAACTCAGGATTACTTGTCCTCTCTCCTTACCTCAGAGTCAACAAAGTGTCTCTGGTAGTAGTAGAAACCTCTCTTGCAGAGGTTACAGTGGCCCAGCGCATTTTGCAAGAAGTGTCTGCGATACAGCTGATGCCACGTGTCCTTGATCTGACCAGGGTAAGGAAGTCAGTACTTCAGCAGTTAATGAATATTATATGAAAGAGGGTGCTTATACTGTATACATGCTACAGCTGTTATGATTTGCATTGAAATCTTTTTATAACAATTACATATTTGTCCTCTCTCTTGTTCAGAAGCTTAGAGACACAGGTGTTTTGATCTCACCAGCACAGGGTCAACTTCAACCCCTCGTCCCTCCAGATTCTTCCTGACTGTGGTGACCTCATCATTGGCCAAGTAGGCTGTGTGGTCATCATGTAGCTTCAGCAGGCGCTCCAGCTCAGTCTTTGTTTCATTACGAATGTGCTAAAAAGGTCAAAGAAAATGAAGTGAGCACTGTCCTCATGGTGGCAAATGGATGTTTAGATGGCGATGATTATTTAATGCATTGTGCACGTCTATCAAGCTCTAAACTTTAAAGTCTCTGTGGTGCCTCTAAAAAAAAAAAAAAGTAGTTATACCCAGGAATTTGGGAAGACCCCTCAAACTCTGACCTGATCTGGTGTGCGATTTGTCCAGTTCATCCACCTCTGCTTCCAGTCTGGACCCACCATATCTCTGATTACTGACTCAGCTATAAGAGAGAACACCAAAAAAGAGAGACAAAGAGAAAAGACTGAATGGAATTTATGTTGGAGGATGTTACTTACAGCAGCAGCCATTTCTATTCCACAGTATTTCACACAAGAATGAGATCATATGTTATGAACATTCGTGGCGCCATATAAATAGAGCTCCAACTGTGGCAGTATAGCAGACTAGACAAGATGGCACTGAAGCATGACTCACAAGCGGCCCTCTCCCAAATATATGAATAATGGTGTTTCCCCAAAATGTGGCAAATGTGCCGGAACATTAAGAATTTCTTTTGTAATTTAAATGGATCGGAAATGGGGAGAAATTGTAAAAAAGAAAACAAGTGTGCGAGCCAGATGAAAAAAGCTTCCGTGTCTACTCACTGATGTGCAGTCTCTTTTTTTAAATCTGCATTTGTAAAAACAAGACAATATAATTAACTTGAACTGTGTACTTAGCCAACCGATCATCTATACAGGGCTTTGAAACATACGGTTAAGACTGGGAAGGGAGTCTAGTGCTTGGCATGTGACACTGTATGATCCTATCATGGCTAACATACTGTCTTTGAGGCGTGAATGCAGGGTTTCCTCCATGAACTGGATGGCGGCATCCCACTGTGGCTTGTCTGTGATGGAACGGTCTTCTAGGGCATTGTGCTGGATCACTCTCTGACACACACACACACACACACACACACACACACACACACGACAAGAAGAAAATCACATTAATGGGTTGAGCTGCAATGTAATAAATTAAGCAGTGTACCAGATGTGCCATTGCATCTATTGGTTTTTGCATCAATGTTACCAAGACTAGTTTCTTTATATTCATCACACATTATCATGGAATTGTGTTAAACTGTGTGTGCTCTCTCTATCCTTGCACCCAGGGTGAGTGGAGTTATTGAGTGTTTACCAGGCTGTCCATGGCCCTCTCATTCCACTTGTGCCTCTTAATGCTCTCGTCCTTCACAGCCTCCTTCAACTTGTCAAAAATGTCGTCCTGGTCTTTGCCTTTGTATTCAGCCATGAAGCGGGCAAACTCTTCCTGCAGTGTCTCCCAGGCAACCTAACGGGAGGCGAGGTAGAGTGGGGAAAGAGAAGAAACTTTCTACCATGAAAGGCCATTGCCTGATTGATTATGTCTGCAGTCTGTGGCAAAGTATTTGAACTAATTTAAGTACAGAACAATGAGTACATTGCAATGCTAAATAGGGCTGGCGATACGGCCAAAAATGCTATCACAAAAAAATATTTCATATCATTCGATATTGATAATTATCACAATAAATGTTTTTTCAGTACCTTTCCTCTACAAAAGAAATATCTTAATAGAAAAATGCTCATTCAATTGTGATTCAAATGAATGAAATCATACATTCATTGAACATATTGTTATTGAGGAAAATAATATTGCGATAATTATCATTATTGTTTTATTGTCCTATTGCTATATTTAGACATTTCCTCATACCAGATGGATTTCATGTAATAGATGTATAAAGACAGTCTGTCTGCGTTACCTCCAGGGCTTTGTATGGAAGCTGCTTGTCGGTCCACTGCTTGAGCTTGATGTCTACAGTGGTGTTAAAGGTACCCGAGTCCATTGTTTGGGCAGCAGGCAGGTAGATGTTCTCAATCACATGGGTGGAAACACGTTCCCACAGCTTCTTCTGCAAGATGGCCTCCCTGAGAGAGTAAAAGATAAGTCATGCCAACTTCCAGTAACTGGAGGGAAGAAGATATCTTTTGATTGGAACCTCTAGCAGTTGTTATTTTGGTGATCTGTGTTCTGACTTCCGGTTCCAAGCTGAAGGTCCTTCGACCATATGGTAGATGCATATAAAACATTTTTTATGATTCTGATGATTATTATTTTATTTAACTTAAGATTGATCTAACAAGCAAGAACGTTTGTAACAAAGTTGCATCCACCTCAGTGCTGTTATGTGACCCAGAAGGATAAGAAAACAATGAGTGAAGAGGAATTGTTCTTGGCTGAGCTGCTTTTACTTGTGTAGAGTCGGTGCTGCTGCAGTTGCACTTGACTGTGAATTCCAATACAGTCTGACCCTGTTAGTGGCTAATAGCCTCCACATTCTCACTCTCTCTCACCACAACAGTGTGGCAATGGAACAAAACCCTCCCCTAGTTCCCCTTGGACCAGACCAGTGCCTCTCTCATTTATCATAAACGCACACTCATATTTCATTAGGCTCCCCTTTTGTTCAGGCTAGCACTCCTCACTGTCAATAAGCGCTATCTCCAATAGTGCTGGCTGGCTGCTGGCGGGCTAACAGGGCCACCCCTGTTACCGTCCATGGGCCATTCATCAGAGTATTGATCCGGGAGAACTGATGGCACGCACACTGGGGATGGCCACAACACCATGCATACATCTCATTTAGCAAGGTTTTCCTCATTGGGGGTGAGGTATAACTATACATTCATGCACAGATAAACACACGCAGACATAAGCCTGCAGTTTGCTCTAAAAATAGCATTCCACTCTGGTTGAGTGCTGGACCAGTGCAGTCACAGGTAGACAATTTATTACTTTTCAGTGCTCAGAAGTTTGCACCTTAAGATCCGCGCTCTCCATAGGGTGGATAAAACACTAATACTAATACATCTTTACTCAAAAAAACATCCCGCACTATATATCCCGAATAGTTGAACAAGGGTTCACTAAAAGGTTAAACTACAGTTTAAAATGTTTGTGATGCTAATGGTATTTAATAAATGAACATGTCTGATCTAAAATTCAAAAATCTGATTGGACCTACATTTCTGTATTATTGACGATTTTTCTAATTCTTCTCAGTATTTTGTATATTTAAAATAAACATTAATAGCTTTGATTTTTTTTTTTTAAATAGTAACCAAAATAATGAGCCCTATATATTACATCATTATTAACTTACCAATGTTGCGGGGTCACTTGGCTCAAACTAATGACTTCATCCAAAATTTCATTTTTGGCCTTTTCAAAGAGTTCATTCTGCAAAAAGAAAAAAGAAAATCTGTAACATCTGTATCATCACTATACACCTCTTACTTTTATCTTGACACAAATCCTTTGTATTTCCATAAACAACTGTGAAACTGTGTTTTGTCTCTATTACAGAGCACTGTAACATTAAATTCATTTCTCACCCTGTCCAACTCTCTCAGGCGAGGGTAGTTGTTCTTCCATTCTGTCTCCAGGTTGAAGCGAGATGCTGGGATGAGGAGGAACAGTGATAGTTAATCTTTGATTTACATGAACAAAATCAAACTTTACATTTTACATTAATTAAATTATCATTGAACGATAACACCATAGAGCCTTGGTAGAAACTTTGCCTCTTAAAACGTCAAAATAAATGCGTCTTAATTGACGTCATGTGGCAAGTGCTCGTTCTCGTGGTTAGACGAAACTCATCTCTTGCATGTTTCTATTGCTCGATGTTACATCAAACAGTAATTCTTTATAATCAACAGGCATTGACCATACAGGGACAGGCCCCTCTTTGTTTTAACTTGGTATGATATAAAGGCAGCTTTCAGACTGCTAATGGTGCCTATCATTTAAAAAAAAGTAGGTGAGGACACACTTACTCTCTTAACTGGTCCCCTGGGAGGAGAGGGGAAGGGGCCAATCACACACTCTTTATCAAAAGTCTGAGTTTTAGTTCTCATATATGCACACGGAGACAGACACAGTGACAACTGAGACACATCAAGCCTACGGTCCCTTTGTGCCGCTCCCTATCCACAGCAGAGATTAGGCTAATTGCTGGTTTGTGGAGCCACGGTGGCGCCAAGCATGGAGGATCGAGGCCGGCTGTGTGTGATTTGATGGGATATGGATCGATACACCGCACAATGGGTCTATGGGAACTGCAGTCTCACGGCCATAAATCTCCTGTGCTGTTAGTAATGGGCTTGTGATTGTCTATAGACTAATTGCAGTGGGAAGGCAGGACTGTGGAAAGGTGTGGTGCCGAGGGCTGAGTAAGGCCAATACAGGGAGGTGGGAGAGTCAGAGGAAGAGGAGAAGTAGCACCTGTTCCCTGGACAGTTAATGGAAAGATATCCTACCATGTACTTACACTTTTAAAACATGCTTTGGATATAAACACTAAATGGCACAAATAATGAGGCATACGAGTCAGTCAACCCTCACTGGGACAGAGGTTAGTCCTGCTCGTGCAGTCATACCTTTGAAGACATCAGCCTGCTGCTCAACAGACTCCCTAACCATTTTCCAGAAGCAGTCGGAGACGGCCAGACTCAAGTTCTTTGTGGTCACCTGGTGGGCCTTCAGCATGCCGTCCCTTGTTACATACAAATATTCATAGTCAACTTTTGAAATTAATTAATTTAAAAGCATTAAAGTTTGTGAATCAGGTGTAACTTGCCTCAGTAATCTTGAGTTCTGGAAGAAGTCTTCCTCATAGTCTTTAATGGAGTCTATGCTTTCACCGGTGCTCCCTGCACACAAGTCGACAGCAGAAGTGTGAAAGAGTGAGTAAATGAAAACTCAGGTAATGGCGGATTTCATACAGAAATAATAGTACATTTCAGAATAAAATAGCATACTTCCAGGGAGTTTCCCTGGTTATCACAAGAGGTGTCAAGAAACCTGAATGAAGTTAAAGAATTAGGTAATGACCATGATCTGAGGTTCCTTGTTAAAGAATGTGAAATAAAATTCAACATGATGGATTACTCAGTAGTACGTTACCTTTCCCTGTCACTACAGCAAAGTAACCCAGAGCCTTCATAGGAAACAGTTTGCCTTCCACTATTTGCTGGATCTGAAAGAGAAAACGTAAAACAAAAAGGACTTATATTCTCACGCTAGTCCACTTAATAATAGTATAAGTTTCCCCAACACAGGTTCATTGAGGCACCATCAAGTTAAAATAAAAGTGCTGAGCTCCCTCTTGTGGAGAATCTGCATAGGGGCCAACTGTCCACAGGTTTAAGGAAATCTGTAAATGCAGCTGTTTTGTTCATTAACTTCAGCTTTAGGGTGGCTTTGCTCACTATTTATGCAATTTTGATGCCCTTCAACTAAGGATGATAATAATTAATTGATTTTACCACTTTCTTCTTTATGGCTCAAAAATATGTTGATTAACAATGCAAATCTCACTGTTGCAATGTTGTCCTTTTTGTGGCTCATCAATAAAGAGCATGTAGACAGATCAGTGCTGTCATCACCTTAACTGTGATAAAAATACATTAATAAATGCTTAGATGTTGTTAGTAACTTTTTGTGTATTGGATTTTTGGGACAGTTAAGCTGTCTTACTCTGCTCGGGCTGGCCAGGTTCTTCTCAGCCAAGTCCACCTTGGTCAGGACAAAGATGGTCCTCTTCCCCTGGGGATCCATTTGGCTAACCAAGTCTGTTACAATGCTCCGCTCTGCATCCACACTGCCATCTGGAGGGAGACAAGATCACAGGAGATATGATGATAGTGTATATATCAAAACAAGGAGAATGATAAGGACTATGAAAATTATGAAAGACTGATATTTGGTGTTTTTATGTAGAACACAACAATGGGACCGAAGTGGAAGTCCTCTGACAGACCAGATCCCTGCTCACTATGACATAGTATACTTGTGGCTCACCCTGAATACAGAGGATGATTGCATTAGGGTTCTGCATGTAGGCCTTGCTGATGCTGAAGATCGTTTCCTTAGTATCAGATGCCATGCCTGTAGTCACAGTCTTAAAAAGAGACACACATTAAAAAAAACCTTTAAAGAGAGTGTATTTGTATTACTGTATCTATGAAGACAAGTTTGGTCTCTTGGCTTTGATTTTACATGAGAGAAAACTGAACTTGTACGTTTTAGTAAATCTACATACGGAGCCATTACCTCAAACAGTGCAAGAAAAGTGTATTATCTTAACAGACATCCTATAAAGAATAATATGAAAACGTATGGCAATAATGAAAGTGTAAAATATCATAAAAAAGGATTATGTGTATACTAGGGATGAAACGATTACCGGTTTAACAGTAAACCATTGTAAATTTCCCGAATGTTATTATTACCGTACACATTTTAATTGACATGGGTTTGTTTGGGTCAATGACAACACAGCGGAAGACAACGCTACAGAGATTTTTCAGTCACTCTGAAGTCCGGTCGTATTTTAATTTTTATGAGAGCGCTGAGGGAAACTTGATTGAAGAAAATTACCTTAGAGTGAACGCAGGGTGAGTTAACTTTTAGCTTTGGTTTGTCTCTCTGACTTGCTAACAGCTTGTAAACTGAAGCTCTCAGTTTTAGCTGCTCCTGTAAAAACGCTACATGTTGTTCTGCTGCTGTGTACGTTGTGTGTCGGCAGAGTCTATTCGTTCACTGCACATAACACGTTACGCAGTTTAGTCAACCAACCAGCATATCTAGAAACGCTACAGACTCCTCTGTATTTATGTCAGTTTTTGGGCTCTTTACAGTTACTATCACTGTCTTCTAATGACTTATTTGTTTTCATGTAATTGTCCACGGGATCATTGTATTACTATGTAATATAAAATGTTAAATCTTGATAATGCACACTTAGATGATTTTCATATGTTTACAAAAGGTATTTGCTGTTATTTTATTTTTTTTATGAAAACAAAATGGCAATTTTATTTGTAGTTTTCAATATAAAACTTTTTGAAATGGTTTCAGTGTGTGTGTGTATCAGTACATTTTAATCTTTTTTGGCACATTTCTACAATACCGTGATAATTTTCATACCGTTTCATCCCTAGTGTATACTGTACATTACAAAAAGTATCCGGTACACAACCTATAATATAGTATATAAAGAAATGTGTAAATATTCCCACCCTTAATAATTTCTCAATGTATACTCACACTGATGACACCTGGTAAGTCAACAAGCACCATCCTCTGGATGCCGGGGCCTTTGACACTCAAGGATATCGTCTGACATGCAAAAAATAAACATCATTACTGTATGTAAAATTACAGAAGTAAATCAGCAACTAGCGGCTCTCTAACAAATCTGAATGGAAGTACTATGTCCAACCTCAGAGCTGACAGTCTGTCCCTCCTTCACACTCTTCCTCATCCTCAGCTCTATCTCATGCCTCAGAGCAGCCAGCTGCAAGACAGAGGGAGACACGCCAGATATAATATAATGGTGTAAAGAGGGAAGAAAATGTTACTGCTGACATTCATATTTGATGGATGGAGTGAATGACTTTGTGACTTACATCCTCTTCCTTGGTAAGGTCGAACTCTCTGCCACTGTCTTTAAACATGGCCACGTGGTGGGGCCCTTCGCTTAGTGTTACCTGCAGACAGTAAATGAGTTCAAGGGTACCGATAAATTACAATTACAGAAATCCATCCTGTTGCAATGCATTTTCCACTCCCAAAATTCATTGAATTCTTAATTGTCGATTCTGGCTGGCAATGGCTATAAAGGCTGTGCCATGAAAACAAAAAGCCCCACATACTTTGACAGGAGAGCGGGTCATCATCTCTCCTGAGCCCCTGGGGAAGATCCTGGCCTGGGCAATCATCTCCAGCACACTAGTCTTTCCAGCACTCTGATCCCCAACAACAACCACCTGAAACAGAAGAGGAGGAAATGGGTAAAGGGTTGGACAAAATACAGATAAATGGACAGAGGACAGAAGAGGAGAAGAGAAAGGACAGCTAAGCCCAATGGTGTAAGGACAAAGTAGAAAAAGAAACAGGATGTGTTAAGTTATTAGGGTCCAAGAAATATAACATTCAAGTTAATAGATTTTTATTTAAACTAAGATCCCAATTCTACCAAAAAGTAAAGCACATTACAAAACAATATTTTGGGTGGTCAAAAGGAAATCATTCTAACATATTCTGAACAGAGAGCCAACAGACAGATAAAGCCTTTCTTTGATAGAAATCTATTTCCCATGAACAATGAACAGTAGAACTGCATTTGACTGCTCCTTACCCTTGGTAAATGGTCCTGGGTGTTGTAGTTGGCATCGTAGTCAGACAAGATGTCCAGGACTTCAGAATACAAGTCAATAAGGGATTTCTACATGAGGGGACACAATAGTAATAGAGGTTAATATTATACAGGGTGACAGCAAGACATAAGACAGAATAACAACTAAACTAACAGCTAACAGACACTTGTAGCAACATGGTTATCGTACTGTAAAAATCTTCCCGCATCTATCAACCCTAGCTAGTGTGAATCATGTGTATGTCTTAAATGTGCAACCCACCTTCACTTTCCTTTGGTGAATCCCCTTGTCATCTTTTTGCAGCACCACTTTCCGTAACTCTTTATTCTCCTTCTCTAGTCTCTCCAGCATGCGCTGATATTTTAGCTATGGGATAAACAGTAGAGCCAGAACAATAAACAGCATCAGCAACACTTTACAGCTATAAGAAAAATATTTAAATTTGGTAGTGCAATTACAGGATTTACCAACTTTTTGAGCTGTATGAACAGTATAGTATAACTAACTATGCTTGCAGGTATAACAAAGATCTTCACTTTTTTGATCACTGTGAAACAAGACATACAGTATTTAAATATTGAAAGAGAAAAGCTCCAAAAGATTTGGATGACGTGCATGACATTAACACTCCTCTGTTCAAAGAAATTCAGTCTAGACTACACACAATCTACTGTACCTGCGTACGAAGCAGTTCTTCTTGAAGCTGGTCTACCTTCTCTTTGTCTGATGACTGAAGTAGAAAAAGCACAGCAACATAGTGAGTTAATGCTTCCTTTGTGTTTTAAAAATAAGTTTCCCGTCACTCTCACTGTGCAACTGCACAACCATGAACCAGCACAACGAAGGTTGATTACGTGCACACTGTATCACAGAGAGAATCCGCGTTGAGAGTTAACTCAAAGCATAAAGAGAGGAACAAAGATCCGATTTCAGGCAGACACTACTCATTCAGGTATTACTCAGCTTTGATCAGCAAGTTATTGGTTCACAAACAGGCACAAATCACAGAGTGAACCTGAAAAATACAGCTGAATATAATCACAAAATCATCATAGCTTGATTTTTCATGATTAGGCAAATCTTATTTGATTACATCTCTTATACACTTGCAACGTGTTGGGATGAGAGACAAGACAGAAAGCAGGAGACACAGCAGACATGAACAAATGGGATTATCAGAAGAAGAAAGGGAATTTAACAGACAGACACACTACTTTATCGAAAACTATTTCTACACAACATGGACAAGACGTGTGCTGACTAATAAGACTAATATAGGCATTATAAAACTGCCTATCAGATTAAGGCTTCTGCCTTGCTGTTGACTATGTAGTCAACTCTTAAATTTATACATAGCTGGGTCCATTCATGGTAGTTTAAAAAAGTGCAGCTCACACCATGCAGCGGGTTGCCACTCCACTCCATGCAGTGTTTCCGTACATGAATGGAGTGCTGCTGCTGATTATCCATCCATTTGCATGAGAGAGTAAGACTGAGCTAAGTCACCGTGCTTCTGGAACCAAGCTATAAAAAAAAATAAAAGGTCCATGCATGCCTTCTCCACAGCTGACCAGCAGAGTAAATCTTAGCACAGCCTGACATATGGGGTGATACATGGAGGCTACTGCTGCATATTGTAGGGGACAGACTAAAGTATTGAAAGGCCAATTTGTCTGCACTACAAATACAAAACAAGCTTGAAAGGATATTAAAAAAAATACTTTAAAACATGGCTTAAAGCAGAGGGTTAAACATAAACACCTGTAAAATGTAATGAAATCCACTGCAATAGCAATGCAATAAAGTTGTCTGGCCAGAGAAGAGTTGTTTAATTTACGGTGGTGTTTTAAGACTTCGCCATCTATGTGGTGTACAAAACAAACATAAAATTTCACGTGAATAACAAACATTGCATTTATTGCATGGCCACAGCACTGGGATGTATTATTGTGCTGAATTGTTTTACAGCTGTTCATGTTGTTGTGTCCTCCATCCATTGCATATTAGGGAGTAACAGAAAGCACTGCCACTAAAGTTTGGATCTTAAATTGTTTTATTAAAAGACTTATCTGAATACTCAAATCGCCAACTCTATGCTTACAAATTAAGTTAATTAAAAAGAGTAACTTAACATCTGAAAATCTAGTTTTTGCTGACAACCAGTGGTTTAACATCTCAACTTCCTGCAGTGAAGTTGAAGTGCACTCGGTCACAGAACTAAGAGCTTACAAGTCTACAATCTAACCACAACCAGCATGATGCTGTGATCAGAGGTGCAAAATACTTGGAACGTGTTACCAGAGTGGGCAGTGGAACGCTGCTTTTCAGCCTGGCGTTAAATTACAATTTTAATTAATACTTATTATTATTACTATAAATAATAATTATTTTGTCAAGGAGGTTGTTAGAAATGAAATTGTCCTACAATATAAATTCTGTTTCATCTCTGCAGCTGTGATCTTTTAGGAGGCGTTGCTGGGATAGGACGGATCTAAGTGGGGACCTTCACCTTGCGTTTCTGTTGAGGGGGGCTGGGGTTCGGAGGCGGACTGGGAGCAGGCTCTGGCGGTGGGGGGCGCGCACTATTGGCTGCTGCGGCCCGCCGGACCTCCTCCTCGTGCCGCTGGATCTGCTGCTGAATAAGAATGAGCTCGCCAAGCAGACCCTGCTGGGGTACGTCATAGTGAGAGACATGTAGGAGCAGCAACAAAGACAACAACCAGCCAATTGGCTGGTCAGCCATACAGGCAAATGCTGCACAGGGCGACAACAGAGGAAACATCGCCTGTGATGTCTCACTCACTGGCATCGGTGTTGTCCAGACTGGAGAATCATGATACAAGGTCTTTGGCTTTGGTAATAACATTTCCGCCATCATCAGTGCAATCAAACAAAGTCAGTCTCTCTCAAACACAAAGGGGAGATGCCAAACTTTGCCAGACTGAAGGCAGAGTAGGTGACTAATACAACAACCAGCACCTCTCCGCAAGTAGCAACAACAGTGACTCTTGTTCTCTTTCCTCACCATCATGCGTCACTGTGGATTAATGAGTGTACGTTCACCATGAATCAGACAACACTATAACTGATTTTGATACTTATCCTTAGCAGTAGAAAATACAGTGAAGGGTGGAAACTCAGGTTGTACTGTAAAGGTAAAATAATAACCCAGTTCAGAACGCCTAACACCTTAATGTGCTGCAACATAATGATGTTAGAGGGTTCTGAACATAATTGGTCCGATGAAGCTGAAGATGATGATGATTAAATAAGCAAAGCAAGCAGAGATATATTTCTCTCTCAGGGGTGAAGCACGAAGCATACTGTACAGCAAGTAAAATTTGCTTAGTTCAGGGGGTCCCCCACATGATATAATCATTTAAGTTTGTGCAGTTTATTTTTTGCTTCTTTCCGAACTGTGAAATTGCACCTACAGTACCTGTTGAATTTAATATGGTATGAAACATCAACTTGTAAGAGTTGTGTTGTGTTACATATGCTCATGTTGGAGACCATGATTGCAGACTAAAAGCAGAGCACAGGAGAAGAAAGCCAGAATCTTTTTTTAAAAATGCTCTTCTTAATATTCATTGAACTATCACGTGATGTTTTCATTGTTTAAACTTTCACTCAGTACAATGTTAAAAACACACAAAAACAGAAAAGGGATACTGACAATGGTCACTTTGTGGAAAAGAGCAAAACAAAAAAAATTAACAAGGAACAGAGAGAACAACAGAAATGAAACAAATGCGCATTCAAAGTGTTTGGCCAGAGACTGTGGTATATATATACGCTATGATTAGATTTCTGGAAAACAGTTGAGAAGCATGACAAGCAGTGAAGGCACTTTTGAAGCAATGATAAATATCTGTGTGCATACACTCTTATACTCAGAACGAGTGCAGTATACAGTATGTATATGGTAAAACATTAATGTAATACCATACTTAAGAGCAAGCAGCTCTGTAGTGAGACTTGCACCTAAGTTTGGACAACTAACCATATTTTTTGAAATCATGCTGTTACTGTATGACTGTCAGAAAATAGGAAGAACCATTTTCTTACCACAACATTACCATATGGCCTCAGAACCGTACTGTATACTAGGCTTGCAGTCAGTGTGAAACTTACAATTCACTAGTAGAAGGGACTGATTCAAAATCCACCCACAATATTGTATATTATACTTTCTATAATTAGTACCTCATTTAAGTGCAACTTTTAACAACTTCTGCTGCTGGGTCTTTGAAGTCTCCATGACGCCTTTTTTGCTTGAGTAGATTTTGATTCAATCCACTACAGCTCTTGCCACTGAGTGAAAGATAGCCAAGGTGCAGACAGGAGCCAAGTGCAAAAAAAAAAAAAAAAAACAAGCTTCGAAGTGTCAGCAGCTTTTATAAACTTGCCTTTTTGTATTGCTTGTCGCTGCCCTCCTGCGTGGACGCAGCAGAAGAATCTGTGGTTTTTAGCGGCGGATCGCCTGAGGTTTCTACCAGAGACACAACAACACAGATTACTTATGAAAGTTCATCTTTGACTATTGAGAGTGCTGAACATAAACAAGCTTAGAGAGACAACAATGTCCATAGAGAAAAAATGGCAGGTAACCATCATTTAAAGGATGCTGACGATTAGAAAAATAAACACCAGTGTGATAAAATTTCAAATGTTTGGAAAATTTGCACTGATAAATACATATATAACATGTATATATACAACATAAACATATGCATATATAAAATATACTATACCAGCCAAATTTAAGAGTTTTTCATTAATTTACCAAAAATTACCAACTGTTAAACTCACTTTTAACAATAGGAATAAATCACTGAATTGTTTAATATATTTTGTTTATAATTATTAAGAATTATTGATTTAAGTAAATTACTTGATTAGCAAGTATTTATTTTTTTTAAAGTAATATTTAAACATTGCAGGCAACATCAAACAATTAAGAGTAATTAGTTTCAGCAAGAGTAAAAAGTATCTTCAAAACATTTAGTGCGGCTGGAGTTCTTCAAGTACATTTAAAACTTCAGAAAACTGGTATTAGATTGTTTGATTTAGGCACAAGTTGTTTAATGAAATTTTGATTGGTGGACTTCTGCCAGGCATCATGGCTAGAAAAGCAGTTACTGTCGGGTGAATTTAAAAACACTGTGTCAATGACAAAGCAAAAAGAAACCCATTTCTCAACGCTGAAAAACAAAATCAATTGAAGAAGCAAGACTTTTTAAAACAATTTAAACATTCTACCGAATATTGAGTGAGCCACCTTGTCCAAACTTACATTTTGATATGAACTAACATGCTGTTATTGCCATGCACAAGCAAAGTATGCTTAGCCATATAAATGAGGCAAGTGTTTACAAAAGGCACAACACTTTAATGTCATGTGCATAGTCAAATATAACATCTAAGTACAATAAATATATAAATACAAAAACTTGAAACAGTCATGGAAAAAGTATTTTCCTTAAGCCATGTGAAGTAAAGGGAAAAGGAGCCAGGAACACTCCTTTGCTGAATTTATGAGGTGTGGTCCTGTCTGTGCTGGAGAGTCTGTATGACTTTCCATATACCACAGTACATGGCTTTAAAGCATTTTAGGTTATAGTGTTATTGTTATTCCTTATCTATTATTTGATCAATATTTGGCATAATTTAAGAAAACAAATATTTAGTGTACAGTACACATATGTTAACGTCTTGACATTTTAAAATGTCAGGGGATGTTCAATGTAAAATGTATTTTGTGTACATTTTCCAAACATTTGAAAGATTATTGAATGTTAGTGTAATTAAAAGGAAGAAGCCCATACAGGCCAGGGAGAGAGAGGGTGGAAGTCAAAGGAGGCAAAAAACCACACAGGTAGGACAAAGTATAGCAAAGGACAGTCAGGTTACAGAAAGTCAAAAGGGAAGAGGAAGACGTACTAAAAGGCGAACAAGCTGGATCTGCATTTAAGAGCTTTTCACACCAGGAAGGAAACATTTTAAATCATGGCAGGTAGTTGCCCCCATTTAATGCTTTTCTTTCACAGCACTTGAATATGAACTAAGGAATAGTGACCAAGATCTCTAATGATTTTGAAATAATTCAGAGAGAGGGAGAGAAACTTTGAGGCGTTTAATGATTCCAGTAAACAGGTGTCAGCCACAGGGATCTGATGTGGTAGTCCAAGATGAGGCCTTTTCACCATCCTAGTGGCAGGTCATACATTTCACTAAATACAGAACCTGCATTAACCATGAGCACTGCCATCGTTTGCAGCAGCACTGGTCTGTAACCTGGAAGCCAACATCCTGGAAAGATGCTCTGCTACCGCCTTAAGAGCCGAACCATGGCAAGCAGGAACCGACAAGAATACAAATATAGTGGCAAGGATGGTGGTCTAACAGCAGCAGAGAGAAAAGAGGGGAGTGGGCAGCGCTACTGAGTGCAGGGTTTACACACCTAACAATAGATGCAGACCAGAAGCTCCTTTGACTTCACTACCCAAACTCACACCTGTGAAGAATGTTGAGGAGGACAGGAGGGCAGGGGAGGAGGAGAAAAGGAAGAACAACACAAGGTAAAAATCAAAAAAGACAGAGGCAGAGGGATGGTGATCAAAGCAGGGACACAGCTAAATGATGTGTATTAAAATAAAGCAGTTGAAGTAGCCGATTAATGAGAAACAGTAATAAAAGATAAGCACACCCCAAACTGGGCCTGATCCTCAAGGAGCCCAAAATGTCATATTTTGTCATTACCAGCTAACCAAGAGGTTGCATTTTGTCTACTGGCTAGAAATGTGTATGCAGAATAAGATTTCTTTGTTAATGTTTTACTATGACATATGGCATGGCTATTGCTTTCCTTGATAAGGAGGTTTGAGTTTCACCCTAATTGTAGTTCAACGCTACAGTACAATGCTTTTGTGCGTTGTTAGGTAATGATTTTACATAAATAGCTAAAAGAATAGCCAAATTAACATAGAAATATTAAATTTGACAACAGTCTGCCCAGTACTACTCAGTTATGTGCACCAGGTCCCATGTGAATAAATGACCGTTTACAACACATGCATTTTAGCACTATTGATCTAAAATACATTGGTTAAGTGTTATATGGTGTACAGGAGGGCTCTTTGTAGAATCATTTAAGAACCACAACCTTAAATAGGGGGTGATGCAGAAAAAGCAGCAATTTAGAGCATGAAGCAGGATACTTCCTCATATTATTTCACATCTCTGAGTCTATGTTATCTCATTCTGCTGAGGTCACTTTCAGGTAGGATAAATCACAAGGGCCGTACTTTAGGCATGGTATACTGTGGAGCACAAGTGAACCATTTTATATTGTATTATATAAAAGCAGAGACAGGTTTGCTTGGGTACAATTACAGTTATCTTCATTTAAAACTTGAACACTGACAATAAGACATCGTTTAGGTTTCATTGACTTACCGGAGGACAGGAGGCTTTTGAGGAAAGTGAAGTTCTCTCCTATCTTGTCTAGGTCAGGTAGTAGTTTGGTTATTTCCTCTATCTCTGGCAGAGCTCTGGCTAGTTTATCTGTGGACACAAGAGCTAATATGTCAAGTGGAGAAGATAGAAAGGACGGGAGACTTATCTCATAATTGTGCAGCCATGTTTTAACTAAGATAAGTATAATTTTTTCCTGTTTGATTTACTAAAATCAGATATTCTTTACAAAGAAGACCAAACCAGGTATTAGCACATTCATTTAAATCATGACATTAAAACGAAAACACTTACCGAAATCAATATGTTCACTCAGTTCCCAGACAAAATCAGGAATGACCCAGTTGTATTCACTAAAATCAGGTAGCATGTCCTTCCACTCATCATAGGTCTAGGGATAAAATGACAAATTGATTGTTATCTTTACATGAATAAAAGCTTTTCCTCTACTGTTTCCAATAAGCAAGTTGTGCCAACACAACGCAGAAAAAGGTAGAGAATAGTTCAGAAACCCAGAGTGGAGAGACTCAATACCAACCTTTTTAGCTGTGTACCCTCCTCCCACTGCCGAGCCCAGCAGAATGTATCGGAGCCTCAGCAGCCGGGCAGCGAGGCGGGCCACCCAGAAGTTGCGCTGCTGCTGGTGGCCACGGCCCCCTGACCCTGGGGGAGGCTTGGGAGGCCGCATGGGCAACCGTGACATGGAGGTGAAATAGCGGGCTGCCGTGCGATGAGGGGGACGCTGGGGGTTGGTGTTCCCAGAGTAGCGGTGGTGAATGGCACGGGAGAGAGGGTGCAGCTTCTGCAGCGGTACCCGAAATCTCACGCCCATGTTGGTGGAGACCAGGTTTCTGCAGGCCATGCTGAGTCAACAGAAAAATTGGACAATAAATTAGACAAGCTCCCCTTCCTGGATATATAATCTGTGGCAGCTTCTAGTAATCCCGCCAATATCCCTGATGATGCAGGTGAGCAACACTGAATAACATTTTTGTCTCAGATAAATCCTTTGAAACAAGGAAATCTAGGATTAGTAATATCAGTGGGTTGCGGTAACAATAACAGCAGTAGTACATTTAAAGTAAAAACTAAAATGTCTTCACTTCCAGCCTGTGGCTCTGTCATCAGCTGGTGGAGTTGCAATAGCGGATTGAACCAGATGCAGGGAGTAGCAGCTTATAAGTGTAACGTTAATAGAATACTGTACTGTAGCTAGATTACTGCAGCTAGTGTAGAAATCTGTCATGCTATGACATGTTATCGATTTTGTAATGGCCCTTTCAAGGTGTAACGCGCAAAACGTTGCAACATGCAGGCAAAGAGAAGTTATGGTAAGTTACATATTAAGGTACCGTTAACTTACAAGGATACCTGTCAGCATCAGTCATTCAAATACATTATATAAGAAAATCCATATGTTTAGGGTCCATTATAATCATATACTTACAATATTAGAGAATAAAAGGCTACGTCAAATCAAAACCACATCCCCCGGGTTAGCTTGCTAAATTAGCTGGCTAATGTAACGTCAAAATAAAAAAACAGCAGCACAGTCCGGTTGGCAGCAGCTTTCAACATAAGTCGGAGACAGTTTGTGAAGAGATCTTATGCAACTACTTAGCTATAATGTATATTTTTAAATAGGGTCTTTTTACGACGGACATTTACACGAAAGAGGTAGCTAGCTTCGCTGTCCTCAGCTGTCAAAATGACCAGCTATGTGCTTTCCTTACACCAACTAACGTTAGCTTCTGTTACCGTTACCTTCCAATATGGGAACTTACCAGGTAGCTTTACTCCCGACACGCAACATGGTGCTGTTATCAACAGCGGGAAAACGCAAATCTCTTTCAAATTCACTCTTTAGGCAAGATTTAATTCATCTTTCCAAAAGGTACACATTTGCTTGCCTGTTATAGCAGCTAACTAGCTATCTCGTTAGCTAACAAGGACACAGCTAGAATGACAGTCCACTTCCTGTGAACCGTGCTACCTTCAAATCCACACGGGCAGAAAACGCACCAGTGAATTACTTCCTATGCATCCACAACTGCGTCGTGTCATCCATACGGACGTTTCATCACACACTTGCCCCGGTTTGTGCCTCTGAAGCTTTTAACACCCAAAGGGTTACCTTCAGTACAATACTATACCATTGTTGTGTAGTCCTGTAAAATGTGTTGGAGGATGCAGGGGCTCTAACGTTAAATTATGTATCTATGGAACGGCACTTAATCACAATCGGCTTTAATGTGTACACATACTAGGAATTTGACTTTGGATTGTACGTTGCTCTCGATATACATACACGGAACAAGCACAAACAAAGTGTAAACGAAAGGCTCAGCAAGGATCAGACGCATACACTATAAACAAAAACGACAACATATGTAAGCAGCGAGACAGCAAAACAATAGTGAAGTGAGAGAATAGTAGAAAGGATGCTGGAATAAATATGTATGTGCAAGGATGTGAACTTAATTAATTTGGACCAGACATATTTTGTAATGCCAGCAGATGATAATAAAATAACCATATTTATAAACATGAATGCCTTCATAGGACAAAGGAACAAAGTGCTTGCTACAGTGCACAAAGTGAAAATTCTTTCATCCCTGCTTTAAGTTTCTAACACCAGCAACCTGTCAGTTGGGATATTTAAATGGCCAATGCTGATAACATGATTGATAAAGATGTCATTTGAATGAACAGGTGCAGCATAGATTAGTTAGGGACAATGTGCAGTTGAGAATAAAATGATGACTGGCAAGATGGCCATCCAATTATATGATGAAGATATGTTAAGACATGTCTACAGTTAGTTGCGTGACCTTAGCTGAACTATATATATATATATATATATCTATATATAACTATATATATATCTATATATATATCTATATAACTATATATATAACTATATATATCTATATATAACTATATATATATCACTATATATATATATCTATATATATCTATATACTATATATATCTATATACTATATCTATATATATCTATATATATCTATAACTATATATAAATATAACTATATATATATATATATATATATATATATATATATATATATATATATATATATATATATATATCCATACAGATGTAATTACTTTTTGCATAGGCAAGATTCTCGAGTCTCATTTTCAAAAGAATCTCAGTGGATCCAATTTTTTTGCAAATGTTCACCTGCCTCCTGATATACACAAGATCTTTTGTATGCTGCACTTGTGTACTTTAGCGTGAGTGCCAACACCAATGACACTGAGGCCGTACTGCATCTCTCCCAATTCAGGGACCAGAGTCCACATTTCTAGAATGAATGCATCAAAATTGGCTGACAAGGACTGTCACATTCAACAGGCTCTGCTAAATGCTAAAAACACACTGCTCAAAAAAATAAAGGGAACACTAAAATAACATATCCTAGATCTGAATGAATGAATGAAATAATCTCATTAAATACTCCTTTCCTTACATAGCTGAATGTGCTGACAACAAAATCACACAAAAATGATCAATGGAAATCAAAGTTATCAACCCATGGAGGTCTGGATTTGTGGAAAACCACACTACAGGCCGATCCAACTTTGATGTAATGTCCTTAAAACAAGTCAAAATGAGGCTCAGTAGTGTGTGTGGCCTCCACGTGCCTGTATGACCTCCCTACAACGCATGGGCATGCCTGGCGGATGATCTCCTGAGGGATCTCCTCCCAGACCTGGACTAAAGCATCCGCCGACTCCTACAGTTTGATTTCACAGGAGTGTGATTGACTTGGAGTTGCATTGTGTTAAGTGTTCCCTTTATTTTTTTGAGCAGTGTATTATGCCTGAATTTCCAGGACACCACCTGTCTAACAATTACAGTGCTCCATATCCCACAAACCATTATGTGTTGCTCAATTCTTTACATTTAGGTGAACCCAGTCAACGTGTGTAGTAAATATCTTGTGACCACATCACAATAACCAGGTACTGCACTTATAGTTTACCTGTTTACAGAAATTGCAGAAGCATTATACTTTTAATTTCTGTAACTTGAAGCCTGCTAACCATTCTATCCTTCGTGCCTGCAGCATTATGGTATCCCATTCACGCCCAATGCAAACAAATAACTTGTAGACGTGACCGTTTTGAGAACATTTATTGAAAAGAAAGAAATCAAGATAAATCTGAAATACAGTCCTCAGGGAGAAAGAAATGAAAATAAATAAAAAATAAATTATAAAGTACAAAACATTTCAGAAAATGCACATCTCTGCCAATAAAAATAATACATATACCCCAGATGAGCCTCTTGCTGAGGTGTGGGAGCCGTGAATCAAAAGCACACTGAATATAAATAAACTGTACTGAAAAGAGGTGACATGCAGATGGACTGTCATAAAAGATTTTATCAACAGTATGTTTTCATTCAGTTTGGGTATCAACTTTTATTATTTTCTCTATTCATTACAAATAGTCACATTTCCCTGAGGAAACAACATCCACATGAGGCTTCAAATACTCAGTGGCTAACTCAATCCAAATGCCATCTGATGGTTTGTTTAAAATACATAATGTGAATAGGAGGCCAATGCTAACTGTCAACATTCGGAACATGTTGTACCTGTTTGAGTATTGAGAAGTTTCAGCATAAAATCCGTTGCTTTGACATAGCTGTGTCAGAATAGAAGGCAAAACTGTAGCGTAGAAGAAAAGCAATAGTATTTACACTACACATCAATAAATTGATGAATTTTCTGTATCAAGGTGCACAGTTATGACTGAATAATTTTGCCCCTAGCAGCAATATAATCATTTCTACAATAGGCTGCTGATATCGAGCAGCAATGCACATTCTTTTTTGCCAATTACATTTAAATTTTTACATGTATGCAAACAATTGTTTTTAAAAGTTCTAGACAAAGAAGGTCAAATATGTACATTTAATGATCGGACAGAAACATAGCAAGATTGTCAGATGTTGCTCAAATTCTGAAATCACTAAGAGGAGGCGCCAAATCCTCACTACATCAGATGAATTCCCTTCTTGTATCAGGTCCTTGGTTATTAACAAAGTAAGAGAAACGAAGAGAGAGAGAAGCTGAGAAGTAGATCTACAGGAACCTGCAGAGACAACCTTCCCATCTAAACCAGGGTGGTTTTAATTGTCTTCAAGCTGTAAAGTAGACGTGCTGCATTATATTTACCCAAGACAGAACAAATATTCATGTCCCCCAATCAGACCTCACGATAACAGACTCAAATTGTGAAATAAATGCCCACGATTCATGCCCAAATAAGGAATTTCCAAGCTAATGCAACTCCATAACAAAAGTGAAAGTACAAATAAATCCAAAAGACAGTACAAATCTAAAGTAGACAGACAACTGATTATAACAGTACCAAAACAGTAGAAAAAGACACACCAGCCCTTTGATAATCCAAAAACCATACATATTTATAACTAAATCTTTTTACTTTTATGCACACACTACAAATGTACACCTCATATGTATAGATAGAATCCACCCTCTAATATTATCATCACCTTTTAAAGTCCACTTCTGCAGAGTCAAATCAGGTGTGACAGAACTGAACACAGGCTAAAATGAAACTCTTTCTTCTTTTTCTCAAACAATCAATACAGATGTGATGAAAAGTCTTTGGAAATAGAACAAGTGCCTTGCATTAAATTTTGTTCTTTACACAACATTCAGTTCTAGCCTCAGTAGGTATCTAGAGAAGAAAATGAAACCCTGAAAGCAAATATAGAAAGGAAAAAATACCATTGAATATTCAGAGGCATAGCAACTCATGTGACCCATGTTTGGGAACATCAGCAACATTGTTTAAATCCAACATAAATAAGAAATTTAGACATTTTTCAGGACAACATATCAGAATATTGGTGAAAAATGGCAAAAGAAAGTCCATTTGAGCCATGTTATACATTTCGCACACTGACAATTTACCCACAAAATACTATAACCTCTCATCAAATTAACAATTTATCGATTAAAACTATGGTCACATTTCACATTTGAACTTTTCATATACACTGTATTGATCCCAAGTTTCATATGCATTTGTAATTTCATTACAAGTCTCTCAACAGACAATGGCTTTTAGGAACTGAGCAGACTCTTGTTATTACTGATGTTATGTAAATCTGTTGTGATTTTGTTTCTATATAAATAAAATTTTGAAAGAAAGAGTAACGTTACATTTAGTTTGACATTCTTTTGACATTGTGCCTCAAACCACAGATTAACACTCTGAAATACTTTGGGACACACACTGTTTGAAATGATTATTATTGAACTGTACAATTCACGAAAGGCGGGCTGCTATGCAGAGTATACAGTTATACTGACATTATGTGTGGGTGTCTTTAAAGTGAAACTCCACCCTAAATCTGCCTTTTGAGCATCAAAACACCATCTCTTGGGGGCTTTAAAGGTGGATTTCCAATTGTACCAATTTTAATGGCTGAAAAAATGCCATTAATAAATTAAGATTTAACAATTTTTATTATAGGAAGAAGCTACAATAGTTTACAGCCACCTTTTGAGTTTACAGGGAGCGAGTGAGTGTTTGACACTTAAAGAATATATTTTGGGGAGTATCACTTTAAATATCAAAGAAAGAGCAGTGAACATAAAATATAGCCCTTAACTCTCTCTAGGCAGGTAGCCTATGTGTAATACATGAATACAAGGTTGTATGGTAACCAGCATCCACCTTGTGTAGCATGTGCTGTTGCATGGATGTTTTGAATGTGCCAAGAACATAGAGCTGATGAAATTCAGAATACCTTGATTTGATTTACGATTACACTTTGATCAGTCTTCCATAGGAAGAAATTTTGTTTTTGTTTTTGTTTTTTTTAAAGAAAAATATGCAAATATAATATAACTCTGGAGCCAAACTGATATGAGTTTGTAAATGTAAGATGCTTTGATTTATATGGTCTCATGCATGTGATTAACTGTGCACGAAAACCAGCCAGATCCATGCTGTTTCTTGTGCAGAATTTTAAAAAAAACAGAGATGTCAATGTAAATATTTCTTAATTCTACAGTAATGCTGTATTTATAGTATTATTTCTATTATTGCAACCATCAAGTCTTCAGAACATGATCAGGAGCTGGCTTCATGCAAGTCTTGTTATGCTTTCAGTCTCCTCTCTGGTGTCATTAGAAGATGTCAGGACATGGCTCATAGATGCAAAACCACAAGATTTGGGTTGTAGCCACACTAGCGGCCCAATTATACACTTCATTTTTTTTTTTTTTTTATGGATGAAATGTTTTGCTGTTGTTAAATCTTTACCACTTCTGATGGGAGTGCCACAGGAAAAGCTATGTTGTTCCCTGCCAGACATGTTAGCAATGTATGTTAACACTTATGTAAGTAACGTTAATATGAAGTACAGCTGAGGTTGATGAGAAGTCCTTAGTTTTAGAGGTATACTGTTATGACATGAAATATCAGGGCCATAAGTGTCTGTGGTAAAATTCATAGCAATACATACACTACAGCAGCATGGCTAAACAGCTGAGATGAAATGGGTCCTTCTGTAATTGTCTATTTTCCCCCCCTACATAGTATCTTTGTTAAAAACCTTAAAGGTAAACTCTGACACATCTGTCTCCCTTACTGTTCTCTTTAAAGTCCTTTATATTTTACAAGCCATCATTATATGAATGTCTATGAAGGATTTGGCCAAATTATGGCAAAAATGTAACCTCATTAGTTTGAGGTTCATCATTTTGTTCCTTCTATCATCAATCTGTGACTTCTGCCTGGGGTATGCAATTGAACAACAAGTTGACTGCAACTGTTCCAAGATTCCCAATCACAGTATGCTTGAAAGACTATTGGAATACTTGTCTCAATGAGTAATTGGACATCCTTGGTGGTCAATGGTAAAGCTTTTCTTTTTGGTTATAATTTTGTGCTCTCTGCGTGCTTGCCAGCTCATATAGCTAGCTCATTAAAATTATTTTCTACATTTACTTTAGCTATGTAAGACCGCTACATAGTAGCAGTCAGAGCCTGCAAAAACTGTATGATCAGATAATACAGAACTGGTCAGAACAGTCACCTACCGATATGTATCCATTATTCCACCGACCTTCAGCACCACAAGTCTTTCCACTTTTAAGAGAATATCTCCATTTTAAAGTGAAACCTCTTTCTTCTATCATCTTCCTGAAACTCTTCCAGACTCTTTCTGTATGGACCAATTCTCTTACTCGCCGTGTGAGTGGGTTGTACTTTAGACGGCCTAAGTACGACCCCTCTTCTAGGCTATCATCTATTCTGCTTTTTTCGGTGAACATACACTGCAATAAGGAATGGGAATTACATTTAATGTTACTGAGGTTTAAATGACATTTAAAGACAAACAGGGGAGACCTGAGAGCGGACGAGTGGGCGAGCCAGAGAGAGCAGGATTACTAAGAGAATTGAAACTTAACTTCATTTGGTAGTTATGTGTGATGTTTTTGCAGTAACTACAGAATCAGAAGCAAGTTTCTATGAATGGCAAAAATTTCATTTGAATAGGCTGAATGTGCATTGGAAAGGATAAATTAGATACTGAGCGGGGGGGTGCTAGGAGTTCATGATTTGATAGGTGGAGCCGTTTTCTGGGCGGGGCTTGGCTTCGGTGGTAGTGGTTGGCTTTGGAGGCCAGTCGGGGTCCACACTAAGCTCCTGGGCCAGATGCATGTAGCGAGCCTTGGGTGCCATCTTGTGTGGGCAGCACAGCCAGGAAAGACACTTGTACGCCCACAGGTCAATGCCCCCCTGAAAATACCACGGTACCAAAAATAAACAAATAAATAAAATACAAATACCAGAAAGGATAAAAGGGGAGGGATGAAAGGTTCCGTGAACTTTTCTTTCAAAAACTGCTTTTACTGACCAATGCAAGATGATGGTAGCATGCTAATATTAACTGTTGGATGTAAAATATAGAACTAGAATATTTGGGTGATATGCATGCACATTTGTTTGTTCTGGTAAACTGTAAAAAGTGTGCATGCATGCAAGTCATTCAAAACAAAATTCAGCATGATAATAGCTTGAAGGAGAAGGAGTGTGCAGACTGTTAAAAACAAGCTCATGGAGTCAAAGATCAAACAAACAAAAGGATTCCACAGCAGGTCTCTATAGATTAACTAAATACATTAGACATTTAGGCTAGCCTGCTTCAGTTTTAAATATACTGTACTTGATAGTAGTGTTGTAGTACTTGAGACCGGTCTTAAGACCACTGTTTTATGGTCTTGGTCTCGATAGCATTTGTACTCAGTCTTGTCTCGGTCTCGGACATTGAGGACTCGGGATTGTATTTCAAGAACAGTCACGACTATAACTTTGGGAATATCAGTAAATTGCTTTTGCATTGTCTGATTTATTTGTTAACTTCCAAACTTTGATTGGATGTAAAACTTATTGCTTCAAATGCAACCAATAACGCTAAATAAAAATGTGGTGTTACCATTAACAACTGTCACCCCTCCCCGTGATGCTTACGTTGATTTCAGCTCTAAGTGTTTGTATGTGGGTGTTTTAATGAGAATTTGGATCTTTCAGATCAATTTGAGAAGTACCTATGATCTCGTTCTACATTTTGTTGTGTGTCATGTAATGTGGGAAACTGGTCTTGGTCTTGACTGTCTTGCTCTCCCTCGTTCTTGGTCTGGACTTTGTCTCGGCCCCCAAAAAGTCTTGGTCTGGTCTCGGTCTCGATAAACTCTGGACTTGGTCTTGACTTGGTCTCAGTTTGGGCAGTCTTGACTACAACACTACTTGATAGTTTTACTGTTGGAACCACTGACAGTGACTAACATAGCTATCCAGGACGTAATAGGCAAACTAAGGAGAGGAGGTGGCAAACAATCATACGTTTAGAAAAAAAAAAAAAGCAATGGGAGATATCCAAGGCTTGGGAACGGTTTGAGCAATTAACAAAAAAATCTATAATAATAATCATAACCCCATGTTTGTATATTCATGTGCATTCACATAATTGTAGTTACTGTTTTCCGCAACAATGTGCATGGCACATATTTGACAACATATCACTCTGCTAAAAATGGGCAGATACAGTAAATACAAACTACATGTGCACTTTGCACTTAAAAGCAAATTCAGTCAGCATCTTGCATTGTAATGCACGTCACCACCTTAAGGACTTATTTCACAGATGGTTGAAGTTGCTTTAAATACTATCATGCCTCACAAATTTAACATACTGACAAGATGAGGATGAAGGTTTTTATCTTGCTAAAGTAAATGTGTTTAACAGGTACCGCCAGCTACAATTACTAGCTACAAATTTGAAAATAGCAATCAGCTTCAGCAGAAACGTTATTAACTAAAATACTTGTCCCTAAGAGCTAAGTTATGAAACCGATCTCAAAATTGAGCCTGAGAAATTATTGGTTTGGAGTAAAACAGCAACTGTTATCAAGCCCTGAACAGAGGCCCATCAGGGTGACACGAGAAGGAGAGGACAGATCAGAAAGAGACTGATGTCTCGCACATGCATATATTGGTTAGCGGTAACAATAGAAAGGTGCGCTCTGTAGCATTAGAGCAAGAAGTGGGGACAGAGAGAGGGAACACCACACAAGAGGAAAATGAAAGGGCTAAAGAAGAAGGTGTCAGATTTTCCCAACCTGTGGTGTCGGGGCAGCAGGAGTGACACCAAAGCTGCCCTGTTTTTCTCGGCTGAACACAAGCTTCCATAAGATGATGTCAAGGATGAAGGTCTATGGAATAGCGCAGTGTGCAGGGAAAGAATTACAGAGAGGCTAGTTTGTTTTCACATAGCGTCCGCTACTGTTTTTTGCACAGAGGTCTTCAATTGTTTTTGCAGAGCCATAATGTATCAAAGCTTTAGCTAATCATGTGTGGCAACTTACATTAAGCTGCATGTCAATCATGTGAGGTTAAAATTTAATTACACACATTAGCAAGAAGAGAGTGCATGGATACCATTGTTTCACAATACGTAACCTTTTTGATTATGCGCAAAATCATTTTTGGTAGATTTTTTAAAATTAACTTCAAAAAAGGTGAAAAGGAATTTGCACCAGTGGTTTAGGAAATAGCATCATCTAGGGTGTCTGCTAAGCAGTGCATGTATGCAAGGGCAGCCATCTAAAAAGGAAGGCAAAGGCACAGTGATACTGCTTCACTGACTAAACTATCCATTGTCATGCAGTTGTACAGCAATAAATTATTTTCTTAAAGAGCACTCGTCCATCCAGAAATTAGACAAACGTATTCTGCTTTGAAGTATTACAGAAGCATACATTTCACCAAAAAATGTTTAAAACGGTTACATACTTTTGAGTATGTACTATTATTAATATTATTATTAAGTACCATAACAGATACCGTTGTTTTTCTCTTTGAAGAACATTTTCACTTAACATAATTTCCTCTCACAACACAAGACTGATCCTGCTGTCCAGCTAAATGAGACAAAGATGAGCACAATGCATGACAAAACAAAAACTGAACATGAGAAAAACATCTACGGTTACCATGTGTTTTCAGTGTCTTACCTCCACCACAACAGACACAGCAGCATTGACTAAGATGATGATGAAGAGTTTTAACCTCCATTCAAACGGGACACAAACAATCTGTGGAGAGAGAGGGTGGGGGTTGGGGTGGAGGGGATAATTAGCAAGACAGCCTCTTTTTAAGGCTTTATGTGTCTGCAACACTTCACACAGGCACATCCTAATGAAATTAGGAATTGGGCCTTAATATTATCTCAAAATATTAAAAGTGTATAGAGTTCAGCATGATAAAACAAGCTACAGTCATCAACAGAGCTGAGAAAAGGACTATGTTTCTTGTGCATCTTACCTCTAGAAACTCATCAATGCCTTTGACAGGATGGAACATAATGAACAGCAGGAAAACATACAAAGTAAAGGCGGACAGCACAAAAGGCCCTGGGGAGAAGACACGTAAAGACACAGAAACAAATTTATAGCACACTGTTATTTATGGGTTTTATGAAAAAGAAAAGATTTTATGGGGGTAAGAATTATAAAATTAGTAATAGACACCCGAGTACCTGCTGTTATTAAAGAAATTAAAAAAGATTAAAATTAAGATTAAACAATCCTTAAACTCAGCAACTATTTCCCATGCTCAGAATCACTCTCCTTTCCTCCTTTGTTCAGATTCTATTAACGAAGGTTATCAACTAGTTGTTCACCATTAGACAACAGTTTTGATAGAATAAGTCTAAAATAGAATATTTGATCAATGAAAGATTTTCATTTATATTGATAAAATAAGAGGGAGTCGAGGGGATGTGGTTACATGACTTAATTAGTGATCAGTTAGTGCCAAATTATCAGGTTATTACATTTTAATCATTAAAGTTTAACTAATTTTCAATGAGTTGCAAGAAGTTGACTATTTTCTATTTGAATGAATATCCCCATAGTCTAATGTAAGCAAAAGTCTCCAAAGTATATATGTCTTGGTTCATTGAAGATAATTAATGCATTGAAATCTACTGCTACAGAATGTTGTAAACAGTACTAAACTACTACTTATCAGATTTCCACCAACAGACGTTTGCTGAAAAATTACATCTTATGGTTTGACTCAAAAATTACATCTTATGTTTCCTAAGTCCTAAAAGTTACTGTTTTCAGGTTTTAAGTATATTGTGTTATGATTAGAATAATAATCAGTGTAACTTAAAAAATGTGTAATCAGCTTAGAAGTTAAGAATGTCTTACTGCTGTAGAAATAATTAATTTCACTTATTTGTTTCAATATTTCCCTCTGGGTGTGATGGTTTAAAGTGCCAGGTCACAGCGGATGACCTGTACGAATGATAGTACTGAGGGTTTTTGAATGGACAAAAAGGGGACTCAGTGTTTTTTTTCATTTATATATTATTTAAAAGGTATTAAATATTTATATTTGCTGATTTTGAATTAATACCAATTGAGTACCTAATAGAATGATGTTTTTAATTCAAATTGATCAATTTACAATATTTATCATTTATTTTAAAATGAAGCATTTCATGTGTGATTTCAAGTTTTTCATTTCAAATGTTAAAGTTAAAACAATAACTTTATGTATGATAAACGGGAGTTACATTAGCTTTACCTTAAAGGGGTATAAATGTTTAATTTTATGTATCATGCTATATGAACATACCAATTATGATAATAAGGGATTTGATCAATGTTTTGCGTTGGGATAGACATTTTATTATTCATATTCATTAGAAATTGTGCTTATGTATTCAGATGATTGTAATGTTTGTATGATTGAGTTTAGCAGTAAGTGCATGTGGGATTTTTTTCCTCTGATTGCTACAATTGAAGTTTTGTTCCATTTTGCACTGTTTTGGGAGTGTAGCTAGTCTTGCCCATTTTATAGCTTTCAACTATAATTTCAGACTTCAATACATGAAATATAGAGAAGTGGGTATTTTTTACTATGAGCATGTGACCTATAACCTCTGTCAGGGACTTATCACTTGATAAGACTCTTTATCATTATTATTATCGGTTTAGAGCAGAATAATCTTTTGTGTCACAGCCACTGTTAGGCTGCACGGAGACAGAGCTTATGGGACGTGTGTAGCTAGATGATGTAAGGTTTCTTACATTTCCATATGTACAATAATCATTCTAACTATATTATAATATTAATAATAACAGCAATTGTTTCAGGTTGGAAAATGTATTTTATATTTACTGGCCAAGGATAATGTTGATTTAAGTGTTTCTGCTGATTGACCATTGACAATTGCCCAACCCAACTCTGAAGTTGTCCTGACTGGTCCATAAAATTTAGCAAAGGTTTTAATAACTGGGTCCCCAAATTTATAAAGGGTTTAGTGATTGAGTTTATCTTTTGATAAAAATGGGGGAACTGTTGAGAATATTTCTTAGGTGTCTTAATTGATGTAACAGGCTAGCCTGACGTCTGAGCTACTGTCTCTAACTAATCTATTGTTGTCTTCCTGATGAGGACAAGTACGTGTGAGAAATACCTAAAGCTATAATGTCAAACACTTATGGGGTCAGCTACATTACTCTAAGCTAGACCTGTCCTACCTTTCCCTGTTACATCAATTAAGACGCCTAAGAAATATTCTCAGCAATACAAACGTAACAGATGTATTAGCGTTAAGAAGTTTCTTACAATTCTTGTAGCTAGGCTGTCTGAAAGGTTTGCCCTTTGAGAAAACAATGGCAACAATGAGATACTGGAAGCAAGAGACATAGAAGAGGCTGGTGTTCTCGAAGTTTTGGATGTTGTGGTCGTCCACTTCGGTGTCGTTGTGGTCAGACACGTTAATGTGCGACGACTGGTTGCAGACACTGGGTGAGAAGAGAGTTCGATTTAAGGACAATGCAGAAATCTGACTGTGCGTGACAGTTATTTAAAATATGTTATGAAATTATTGCCAAATCATATCTAGTTAATTATGCTGTGATGTTATTTTGGTTTGGCTGAGGTGCAATGTTCGGCAATGATGGAAGCAGGTACTCACTCTGTAAGTGGAGTCCAGATTGTGTACCAGGGCTGCTGTCGGACCCAAAGGAATGTAATGGTCTGGAAGCCCAAGCAGATGAGGATCTGAGTCAGCACAGAGAACAGCAAAGGCCCTGAGATCAGACCAGTTGGGGGACGACGTGGCACCAGTTCTCTCCACGCTGGGTTCAGACTCACTGGGGGGGGGGGGGGGGGGGGGGGGGGGGGGGTAGGAAGCAAAAGACAGAATTTAAGAAATATAAAGCATAACATTATCTTTGTTACTTTTCTTATACTTACTGGTAAAGACAATAAGGAGGATGATGGCAATATCGATGAAAAGGAACTGAAAGTCTCCAAGGTTACTGAGGATCTGAGAAACAAAAACCACCGACACCACAGATCAGACTCCCGTGAATTTGCTGGATTTCTCATTGCTCATTGCTACTATCGACTGCGGAAGCAGCATTACGTACAGAGTAGAGGAGAGTAACACTGATGTACTGTATGATGCTGTAGAGGGCCATGAACTTGAACACACAGAAGGAGGTGATGAGAGCAGCACGCCCCTCCCTGTAAAAGCAAGCAAACACCGGGTCATCTCTCTACATAACATAACCCCACAAGTAACATTATGTCATATGGCTATAAAAAGACTACTTAACATAAAATGTCTTTTAAGCACTATGGATTTGTGTAAAATAGGTGAATTAAAAAAGTTTTGTTGTTGTAAGAATTTAATTATCATTACTTCAAACCTCAATACTGCTAAAGAAAACTAACTAACTGTTAAATCAGTAGCATTTTCCAGTTACTATATCAGTAGTCGATTTATTTCCACAACTACAAGTTAGCATGTAATGAGAAGAACACTCCAGGTGCTTTTGAGGTGAGATGCTCCTTTTAAGTTTAAATTATCACTTTCACCATTCATATTTTGCCTATGGTTTATTAATTGATTGATTGACTGGTACACAAATTTAAGGAAAGAAAAACCTGATGAGGCTGGGAACACAGGAGATGTTGGGTGTCCTTGAGGTAAAGGGAGAGGCTACAGAGGCTTCGAGCTCCGACAGAGAGATGCCACCATGAGCCCTCTTCAGAGCCTGGGTGAGGAAAGCGAGAAACATAAGGTGCGACTGCAACCAAAACAGGTCCTTTTCAGCCTGTTATTGTTACACTAATAATTACTTTTAAAGTGGCTGTACATACCCCACAGTCGTTAGCTCCGTCTCCGCACATCCCCACAAAGTAGCTGTGAGAAAATATAAATAGTAGTGACTCTGATCAATGTTTATCCTTGAAAAGTTAGATTTTTATTTTTTACAGTTCTTACTCAGTCGCAAGCGGCAAATATTGTGGATGTAATACTTTAATATAGTTTGGATGATCATAGCTACATCATGTGTTGGACTTAAATACTCACTCTACTTCCTGCAACGCCTCGATGAGCTGGGTTTTCTGGTCCGGGGCCATTCTGGCAAACACTGTCCCATGGAGCACCAGCTACAAGGCAGAACACACCATCACAGCAACAGAAACATAAGGTATCATGGAGATAATTGTACCCAAAGAACAGTAGGTGCAACTTTAATATTTCTACTCCAGTTACAGAAAGGGTTGGCGTGATGTCCGCTTTCATTTAGAAGACGTCATACCTTTTGAAGCATGTCAGGGAAATGCTCCTCGATCACAGCAAACGATTTTCCGTTCATAGCAAAGTGGTACAGCTCTTGTCTTTTGGGCTCATCTACGTAACACGCATCCTCCAGACTAATGTTCACTTCCTGTTTAAGTAATGAAAGTTTGGCTTAGTTACAACAAATTCTGTTTGCATTATGTAAACAGACGTATGTAGTAGCCGCTATGCAGAATTTTTATTCAAAAAAGGTCTGTTTTGTGGAAGCCAGCAAATCATTTCTTGACCAGAATTTTAAACCCTAAGTATTTTCTGCCCTCACCATGTCTTAAAATTCTTTGTGTATTTATCTTATCAGTAAATATTTGCTTCTTGACTTATTTGTGTGTTTAGACTTTGGTATAGCTTTTTAGTAGACGAGATACCTTTCAGTCTATATGTTCAATTTTACTTGGCTCTTACTTTGATTGACAATAAGAGGAAATGGGGTTCCCTCCCACTAAATAGGTTGTGTTGGACACTACCTTGTCGAGATCACACCTAAAACAATTCCACTTTCTTGGTTTCAGAGATAGTTTTGTCTTACACATGGGCTCAAATGAGTCTTTCCATTACTTAGAGCTTGAGTGTAATATGACTGCATGCAGCCTTTTGTATGTGTGTGTTTGTTGTTTAGCATTAGTCCCATCGCCTCACCTCTAGGCGAGATGTCTTGCTCGGCTTGTCAGCGTATCTCCAGGTGATCTTGGCGGCGTGTCCATTATGTGGAGGGTGGGCATCAGCAATGATGACTGTGTCTTGGGGAGGGATCATTCCACAGTCCCTGGCCACAGAGATGGCTGTAAGCATGTTGTCACCTAGAATGTGATCACAGCACACGTTCCTTATTGTACTTTTTTCTTGAGGACAGCCGTTAAGGGAAAGTAGTGTAATGTTTAGTATTTGTTGTTTGGCAGATTTTTCCCATGTTGTCTTAATATTAAAAACAATGCAGTAAAAAGTTCAAACTAAAATATCTAACTACCCAAAAGGCGCTATAGTATTATAGGTGGACAGAGATGTTAATCGTGTCTGGCTGAGACACAGATTAATTTTTTTAAGTTGAAAAAAAAAAATTAAGTTTTTTTGTTTTATGTCACCCTGTTACTTCTTCTTTTTCTCTAGCTTTCTCAAAAATCCACATGCATTAAAAGTTTTTCCTGGTATATTCCTTGACAACCTATATCAGTATTTATATTAGTATGGGGCAGAGCGTATGGGACTGATGGCAGGATGGTGAATGGACACACGGAGACGAAGCCTGGTTCTGAAATAGTGCTTAATACTGTATGAATAGATCATGAATCACTCACAATTTACTAAACTCATTTTCAGCTTCAATGTTAGATTCACTTTCCTTTTAGGACCTGTGTAGCAACCCTCAGAAGACAGATGACTAGGTCAAAGCCAAGCAAGAAGGTAAAAAAAAAATAAAATTCTCAGGTGGATATTTTAGTTTGTGCCAGTTACACTGAGCAGCCTTGTGAATGTTATTAGTTGGGATTACAGGTACAGCTGAATAAATACCAAAGGGATTCAATCTTGTGAGTGCCAATTCACAGATTACTAAACTCATTATGCTGTCTGTGTCACAGCAATACAAGGGCTTTAACCACCTACAGACAGAGAGAAACATGAAAGTAAGATTATGGATTATGTTTACTGCATGTTTTCATTCGTCTATCTGTGTGTGTTCGTGCGTTCTCCTTAGTGACTATATCGATGCCATTACTGGCTTAGTTGGCTTAGTACAAAAGTGAGTACACCCCTCACATTTTTGTAAATATTTGATTTTATCGTGGCAAATAGAAATAACACTTGCTACATGCAAAGTAGTGAATGTATAGCTTGTATAACAGTGTAAATCTGCTGTCCCCTCAAAATAACACATCACACAGCCATTAATATCTAAACCGCTGGTAACAAAAGTGAGTAAACCCCTAAGTGAAAGTGCCCAAAGTGGGCCCAAATAGCCATTTGCCCTTCCCGGTGTCATGTGACTCGTCAAGTGTTACAAGGTCTCAGGTGGGAATGGGGAGCAGGTGTGTTAAATTTGGTGTTATCGCTCTCAAACTCCCTCATACTGGTCACAGGAAGTTCAACATGGCAACTCATGGCAAAGAACTCTGAGGATCTGAAAATAATAATTGCTGCTCTACATGAAGATGGCCTAGGCTATAAGAAGATTGCCAAGATTGAAAGTGAGCTGCAGCACGGTGGCCAAGACCATACAGCGGTTCAACAGGACAGGTTCCACTCAGAACAGGCCTCGCCAAGGTCAGTTGAGTGCACATGCTCAGCGTCATATCCAGAGGTTGTCTTTGGGACGTTTGAGTGCTGCCAGCATTGCTGCAGAGGTTGAAGGTGTGGGGGGTCAGCCTGTCAGTGGTCAGACCATACGCCGCACACTGTATCAAACTGGTTTGCATGGCTGTCCTCCCAGAAGAAAGCCTCTTCTAAAGATGATGCACAAGAAAGCCCGCAAATACTTTGCTGAAGACAAGTAGACTAAGGACATGGATTACTGGAACCATGTCCTGTGGTCTGATGAGACCAAAATAAACTTATTTGGTTCAGATGGTGTCAAGCGTGTGTAGTGGCAACCAGGTGAGGAGTACAAAGACAAGTGTGTCTTGCCTACAGTCAAGCATGGTGGTGGGAGTGTCACGGTCTGGGGCTGCATGAGTGCTGCCGGCACTGGGGAGCTACAGTTCATTGACGGAACCATGAAAGCCAACATGTACTGTGACATACTGAAGCAGAGCATGATCCCCTCCCTTTGGAGACTGGGCCACAGGGCAGTATTCCAACATGATAACAACCCCACACACACCTCCAATACGACCACGGCTTTACTAAAGAAGCTGAGGGTAAAGGTGATGGACTGGCCAAGCATGTCTCCAGAACTAAACCCTGTTGACCATCTGTGGGGAATCCTCCAATGGAAGGAGGAGGAGTGCAAGGTCTCTAACATCCACCGGCTCCGTGATGCTTTCATGGAGGAGTAGAAGAGGACTCCAGTGGCTACCTGTGAAGCTCTGGTGAACTCCATGCCCAAGAGAGTTAAAGGCAGGGTAGGTAAGTTTGAGAAACCAGCCTGCTGGATTTTGAAAGTATCCAACAGTGAAAAACTCCCACCCCCTCCCCTTCTGGGCTCCTTCCAAAGCCACGCCCCCAAAACACGTGAACGCCACGTTGCCGACACCGCAGGAGGACGAGCAGAGTATACCAAGCGGAGAGGAGCGCAGTGCAGCGGCTCACATCAGCGGTAAGAAAACATCTAACTTTATCATTATGAAAATAAACAACTAACCCGGCTGTTAGTACTCACCATCAAGCTATCATGTTATTATTAAATAGGTTTAAAAAGACCGACTTTCAATCAGTAACGAGCTGGCAAGCTAACTGTTAGCAACAGGTAGCTGTGCTAACAGCTGCGGTAACATTGGGCAAAGCTAAAAAACAGGCTGATACACATTTTCCCGTTTCCATCAGTTACACTACACGAACGTGTATTTCGTGTTAGACTCATAACATGTACATTGTTTTGCATGTTAGAGCTTCCACTGTGATCGCATTATTGTCTCTGATGAGGACTGCACCCCAGAGCACAGCACAAACCGGGACAGGCCTGGGGTTGAGGTGAAGCAGAGGAGTGAGGGCTGCCGGGGTCCGAGGAAGAAGAGGCAGGACGGAGAGGACGAGGTGCAAGCCGCGCAGCACAACAGCATATGAACAGGTATATCTATACATATATACTTTAATCCTTGAAAACACGCAAAGCTGACCTTCATCACCCAGGACAGAGTAACAGACAGTTCAGTCGGGCAGCATACAGACAGTTTGTAGTGTGACAATGTGGAGCACTTGGTCACAGAGTCGTGACACTAAGTTGCTGTTTCTACTACTACTACTACTACTACTACTACTACTACCTGCTACACAAATAATTCCATCCACTGTGTGGATAAACACCTGTACATTGTTAGTTTTATTCCCAGGAGGGTAGAGAAAATACAAAGTATATTTTCCTCTGTTCTGGATAACATTTTCATTCTTTTTTTAAATAAAACATTGAAAATGATAAACGCCTTTTCTTTACACTTGCAGCATAAACAATCAAGCAACTACATTTATGTCTTATGTGATGTTTTTAAAACATCAATAAAAATAAGTATATACAGGAAGAGACAAGGTGTGTCCAGATGTATCGACTGATTATGAACAGTTCAGACTTTACTCGTAGCATCGTATCGCTGCTGTGGAGATGATTAAATAGATCACAATCACCTCTCTGACATGAATACCACATTTCAAAACCAACCATATTACTTTTTGTTTTATATTTTGCTGTATCTAGCAACACAGTTGGGGCAGGGACACCTGACTGAACCCCATGTTGACGGGGATCATCAGGTCTCCTGGTTCTGCTTCTGGGCATCTCCTCAGTAGTAGACAACCGGAGGAGGAGGATGGCACTCTGGAGGTCTGCGATGTAACTGTAGTCCTCCACCTTCAATGAGTACAAGCTCCACTTCCTGGACTTTTTGTTGTACACCTTGCTGTACCTGATAATACAGAAAGGAGGATCAGCTTAGTGAAAAGTTTCTAACACTTGACATTGTTCTCTTAGAGTAATTAGTAAACTATTTCCACATAAAATGCAATCAATAACAATAAATCAGCACCATCTATCTGTATTCCTCATACTGTTTAATATTTTTTGACTCATCACTTATAAATGTATTGAGTAAAATGCACCAGAGTACTCATAATGCAACATACTGAACTGTGTCATCAGCTTTTCTCCTGGCTGGTCTGTGGACACGGTGGTTGTAATCCAGGCCAGCCAGCGTGGTCCGATCAGTGTACTGGTTAGAAGCACAGGGTGTTGGAAGACTGCAGGTAACCTGATAAACCTGAAATAAAACATGTCATTACTTATTTTACCAGAAGTAAAACAGTAAAATGTCTTCACACAGTAGGTTTAGCTACGAACAATGTCAAACTATATTATAGGTAGCTTATATACCAGAAACACAGATACTTGGGGGCCTTTAGCCATCATTGTTTATGTACACTATTGTTGAAATGTCTTTCTCATAACTACAAACACACAGCTACATCATTGTAAAAGAGTAACATCCAGTCAAACAACGCCTGCAGACACAAGATAATTACACAAACAGATTAGATACAAGGTAAAGACAGGTGTAAACATAGTATAATAAACCTAGATGGTGAAGAACTAAACCGGTGCAGTCTACACCTACACTGTCTTACCTAATGTTAGCATTGAAAAACACAGCATGCGCTGCAGTTTCCCAGCTCAACTACAGCTAGATAGAATTCATCGTCTCTACTCTGGCTCCTACACACAGCCTGCACTCGTAGCAACCGTTAGCTGTTTGCTAAGTAGGTAGCTACGTTTGCTAGCGATGAAAGTAACAAATTACCACCAAAATGATAAAAGCCAGATTACCTGTCCAGCAGAAATAAAGCCACCACGTTGTAACTTTTCAGCCCCTTGGTGTTCCTCAGTTGTCAGTCACTATCGTTGAAAAGCCACGCAGATATTACCTCCGGTCTGATCGCTTCGCTCGTCAGGTCTGAGAGAGCTGACCGGGTGCGCGCACGGGGGCAGCCCCGGTAGCAGCACGGCTGGTAGCCATGGTAGCGAGGGAGAGTGACAGTCACCCAGCCAATCATTGCATTTGGTCCGAATGAAACGAGTGGCTGTGTTTACTGCAGCCCTGAGAGGACTACAGACAGCCGATTTTTATACTCTCTTTCAGAGCACCTAACTTTTTAATATATATTGGTGTATAAAGACAGTTTCAACAAATATGACAAAAAGTGTTTCAGAAGCAACTTGCCTACCCTGCCTTTAAGGCAAAAATATTGACATTTTGGGCCCAATTTGGACATTTTCACTTAGGGGTGTACTCACTGTTTAGTGGTTTAGACATTAATTGCTGTGTTATTTTGAGGGGACAGCAAATTTACACTGTTATACAAGCTGTACACTCACTACTCTACATTGTAGAAAAAAATAATTTCTTCAGTGTTGTGAGTGTGTACTCACTTTTGTGAGATACTGTATGCGTACGTGTGCACACATGTATGGATGGTCTCACCAGTAACCATGACAGTGCGGATGTGTGCTCGGCGGAGGTCCTGCAGCACCCCTGGGGTTTCTGCCTTCAGTTTGTTCTGCATGATGATCAGACCCAGAAACTCCATGTTTGCCTCTATGTGATCCCTAGTTCATAAGAAAATACATACATGTCTACTTAAGTATCAAGACCAAAATACAAGGTGAAACTGTACATTTGCTCCCAATAAATAACTTTATACCAAGTACCAATAAATACACAAAGGTTGTTACCTAATTTTCTTATTTATATATTTCAAACTAGAGGATTGCAGGTGTGACAGTGCAATGCCCGCAGTGTGAAGTAGCATGCTAAAAAAGCACCAGCGATCCTGCAGTTCTCTAAATAGGTTTCAAATGAAGGTCAAAAGCAACAACAATATACAGTACGCTACCTGCTGATGTTCTGGACTTTGTGCCAGGTGAGTTTGGACTCAAGTCGACGATGAGCCAGAGCTATGACCCTGAAACCCTGCTTGGTGTAACCCTCCAAAACTTCTGGAAAGCTTTCTGGTACTGCAAAGAGACAAGTTAGAGAGAGACAGAGAGCAAGTGAAGAAGACTTATTTCAAAGTTATATGGCTTTTGAGCTCAGGTCAGGGCATAGAGGATGCCTGCTAGAGGTTAGCAAGCAATTCGTTTCAAAAAACGGGTGAAAAGTAACAGACAACAAACAAAGAAGGTAGAAAACCAAATCCTGTAGTTAAATTGATTTCCTTATCATTTTTTTCAGTTTCTGGTACTCGGGGCACTTTGATGTGCTCAATCCCTACACATATGGCAGGCCAGTGGGCTAAAATTAAATAAATCAACTAATTTAAAGATGCACTTATATGGAATTTCAGGGCCAATAATGACAAAAGATAATATCTCCTCCACACACACACAAACAGACATCAACACAGAGAGCAAATAGGAGAGAGGCAGAAGTGCAAAAATCACCATTAAGAACTGGGTTTTAGTGGTGTCCCTATTACGCAGCCATACTCAACATCAGACATTATTGGCTGAAATTCCAATATTGGAAAAATAAATTTTTTTTCCTCTTACTAATATTTAACCACAGATATATTGTGCATCCTTATTTTAATATTTTCCAATGCTTTTCACCCATAGCAGTTACAGTAATTATTAGAGACCTCACCTGTCTCTTTCTTGCAGAGACCAGCCACCACCTCAGGCGCTCCCTTCACATAGGCATCCATACGTTTCTCCCCCAGCAGACGAGCCACCACACTCATCCTCTGGAGTGCTGAGGAAAAAGGAAACTGGCGCACGATACCTATCTCATATGCTGACTGCACATGCGCACCCCCCACAGACACAAGAAGAAAAAAAAATGACCATTCATGTCAAGGAGAAGATGTAAACTAAAAACACAATGTCTATCTGTTGAAATTGAAAACATGGATAATGCTAAGAAATGAAAATCACAAAATGAATACTTTCAGAAGGAAATTATGTAATTTAAGTGCTTGGTTGACAAAATTATGACACCTATACAGATCAGATCCTCAAATATTTTGACACTGAACAATAAACAAATTAATTTCCAATTTTAGAAATTTCCAGTAACTTTTTAACATGCTGCCAAGTTTGTCAAATTAAAAATTTAAATATTATCAAAAAGCCTTGCACATTGCCAAAAAGGATGAAGGTGACTTACCGAGATCTCATACAGTTCCTATAGTGAAAAAAAGACCAGATTGGGATGAGTCAACGAGAAAACAAATACACCAATCATGCAGAGAAATAATAATGTTGCTGTTTTCATGCTATTATTGTTGCTGGTTTGACAGCAATATTCTGTGGATTTGGGCAATCCTAAATCAACCTGTATTAGGATGATAAGTCAGAAACTGATAACAGGATGTCTGAGGCCACACTCCAGCTCTAATCTTTTTTTGATATCATTACATTGATAGATCTTAGGGGGTGTGCATCTTCACTGGTCTCACGATTCGATTACAATTATCAGGTTCGATTACGATCTTCAGGTCAACAATTCGATTCCTTGATTCATCACCTCAACGGTGGGAATTTCTAGGTACCTCATTACGATTATGAGGGCTACGATGTGACTGTGAAACGAATAGGATGAAGATGTATTTTTCCCTCACTGTTTGACCATTTGGTACTTTTAAAGCAAAGTATTTGTAACAATCCAAAGTAGTAGGTAGTAATGAAATGCAGCTATTTAATTTACTTCATATAAATGTAGCTAACATTGCATAGCATTATTACATTACAGCATTACTACTGACCTCTGCTCCTGCTATTTTCATTTATGAGGCTGCTGTTATTATTAGTCAGATACGAGTTGTACTATGCAATGCTCCAGCCAAACCACGTTCTCTCCACCTTAATATAACTGTTCCTTTTTTTGTCACGTCTAGTGTAATTACATTAGGGCTGAAACGATTCATCGATTAAATCTATAAAATCGATTAATAAAATGCTTCGACACAAATACTTTGCATCAATGCTTCGTTTAATCCATTTAGCTATACAGCAGTGTTTCGCAGGGACATTTATTACTGTCGCACATCGAGCTTATGCTTTGAACACGACGTGAATATGATGGCGCTGTTTGCAAAGTGAAGGAAGAGAAAGAAAATAGAGGGGGACAAAGAAGAAAGTGTCCAAAGTACGGGATTATTTCAAGATAAAGAAAACAACAACTCTGTAATGTTACCGTCAGTTCACCTTAAAACGAAACTTGTGTGCCTTATCAGAAAGCAGCCGGTGTTCTGCCAGCTGACCACAGACAAGGTAACAGTAACGGCAACTTTAGCATTTAACTGAAATCATGATTGATTGTTGAGTTGAAGGCTAGCCAAAGTAAGCCGCTGTCCTCAACTGAAAATGTACACGCGTGCGTTTGCCGTTTTCCTTTTTGGCCCGTGAGTTGTAACCTCACAGTCATGAGTTAACTGGGTGTCGGGAGCTGCACCTTTTAACTCACCTGCAGCTGTCTCTGTAGCTCAGACGTTTCCTGCTACCTGCGTGTGCTAATCAATCCTTCGTTATAATATCAAACAGCTGTTTCGTGTGCAGGATCGCTCATTTCCCGGCAAGTTGTGTGAACGGCACGAGGCTGTAAGTCGTGTAGTCTGCTAGAGCCTTTAGTATAACTTGCAAAAGTACTTCTTAAACGACGCATAGATGAATAGAAGTTTCGAAAACTAAAATCATCGTTAGCTGCAGCCCTAAATTACATGTTTGTGTCTTGTCTTATAAGTTGATTTTTGTAATCTTGTATTGAGCGTCAAGGGCCTGGAAAAAGAATTTCGTTCATTTGTGTACCCCACATGTGAATGAATGACAACAAATCAATTCAACAGCAACATCAACAATAAATCAAGGTTATCAATTAACCTCTAGATAGTCGATTATAGACATTTGTGAATCAATTCATAATCGTTAAAGCCCCATCTAAAAATCTATTATTTTCCACCCCCCTAATAGATCTGTATAATAAATGTCAGTGTGTGAAAAGATATTGCTGTTCATACCATGTCCTGCTCTGGTGATGCAACTGGCTCTGGGGGCAACAGCTGTTTTGGGGGTCGAACCACAGTCGGCATGATATGGTTGTGAAGAGATGTTTCCTCCTCAGTGGCCTCTTCCAGGATCTGTGCAGAAAAAGTTTTCAGAGAAAATAGGGCAACAATAGTAAGAGCTGTGCTGCCCTGACGAACATTGTGCTTTTGGATAGATTAAAGAATAACTCACCCAGCCTGTAGCCTCAAACATTTTGAGGTCCAGCGGGTCTCCAGACACTTGGCCCTCTATTTTGGTAAGAGAGTGGCATGCAGCCATACAAGCCACAAACTGGGACTTGACAAGATTTTCCTTATAGGCATTTTCCTCTGACAGGTGGAAACTGGAGTGGCAGGAGGTGGACGAAGAAAGACAACAATGTGATGATGTAAATGCTTACAGAAGCACATATGACATGTATAAAAAAACTAATATATTAACAGTGCATGACTATGGATACATTATACCATTCATTAATGCAGAACATTTTTCTAAACCACATAGTGAATAACAATTATTCTAAATGTGGGGAAATAAATAATATAAATCCGTAACCCTGCACATTATAATATCCGAACAACTGCAAGAATTACAGTGCATCCCAACAGAATAACAGATTCCAAATGTCGACACTGGTTGGTTGATTTTGTGGATATCATCCTGTAATCATTTCACAAATCATCCCTAATCTCTGACATTTCAGCATTTACATTGATCCGAAATGAGGGAATTCCCCTCAGATTAAAAGATATTCTAGAATATTCTCCATTTTTTCCACAAGGTCATCAGCAAAGCAATACCAGCTCAGCAACGGCTAAACTAAGACAATGACTTGAGATTTCTAAGATGAAATGCTCCAACGCAGTGGAAATTTCCATGTTTGATCAATTAGAGTATACAGCCGCTTACCTGCCATTCTCAACCCTCTGGATTCCCCATAGGTCTAATCCATCTTCTGTCAGAGTTCCAGTCTGTAAGTAGAAAGAGAGTAGAATTTTACTGAGTTTGATTGGTTTCTTTCAGGGTGCATACTTTCTTGCTGGCTTCCAGACAATGGAGTCTTTAATTGAAACATTTCTTCTTCAGCAATATGTAAGCGTAGTGCTGACTATTCGAAGAGCAAAAACAGCAGTCAAAAAACCACTAGTACTCACCTTGTCAAAGCAAACCAGATTGATTTGTCCGCAGATATTGATCCTCTGTGGGCTGATGCAGAAAATGCCAATGTTTTTGAGGCGTCGCTGGGCGTACACAATGCCAGCTGTCATAGCGGCTGGCAGCGCCGGTGGCACAGTGATGGTGATGATGTCCAGAGACTCAATGATGATGGTCTTAGCTGGCACCTGGGTCAGGCAGAAAGGAAAAAGTCAAGAAATTTTTGCATGTTTGATAAACACTTGTCTTTGATTACCAACCACCTCTAGCTATAAATCAGCACTCCTGAAACTGGTGGGGATTCACAGTTCAATCACACTCATTTGTTGAAGGGGCTCCAGGTTCAAGAGTCAAATATGTGGAATTTTTCAACACAAACTGCCGAGAGCCACTTTTGAACTGAACAGTGTCTGGGGCATGTTTCTCCACTGATTGTTCATGTTAACAACAAAGCCGAAGCAATGACCCAAAATGACTGATTTTGAATGGCTAATCCTATAACAACCTTATAATCATGCAACAAGCGTTAGAGAGAAGGGAACACAAATGTCTCAAACAGTTCATGTTCTGCAGCACACGTGATTCAGAAATGTTTTACTATTGCTGCTTGTTTATGGGAAAGCTTTTGCACAATGGGAAGGCAGGGCTAAAACACCAGTCAGTAAGTATCAGACATCTCAGATGAAAATAAAGAGGACTCCGCAAGTGAGCTGCTGTGCAATGCTAACATGTCATCTTGATAACTTGATAAGCTGATGGAGCCTCTGATACTGTGAGTTTGTTTTGGAAAGAATCTGCCCCCTAGTGGGCAAAAATCTCTTTAGTTCAGTTTTGATCTTCAGCCACAGTGAGCTGCACAACAGTCAACGAATAAAACTGTGGTTGTACTGGGGAGCTCACAAATGTGACTGCGTGCAACAAGTGTGAAGAAGGGAGTGGCTAAGTTCATTTGTGCATAAATAGTTGGGCTCTAATTTTCACCCCCATTTACTTCTGAAACTCTGAACCCATGTAATTCAAAATCAGTACATTGTATTTGTTGTCACCTCCTAGATTACCTTGTTCATGATGCTGAGGACGATGGAGTAGACAAAGCCAATTCCAGCCACAGCCACCAGACACAGCAGGAAGAGGTAGGCATCACGGTACAGCTTGAAGTCGGTGGGTTTTGGGTAAAGGATAGAGCGCACCAGCTGGCCTTTGGCTGTGCTGAAACCTGGGTAAAGAAGTTGTTATGAGAAGTTTAGGTTAAAACTTTATAAAAAAATTATTTATTTTTTTTTAAAGGTGGTTACACTTTTTTTTTTATTTTTTTACCAAAGTTAGTTGTTAGATGGTATGAGTCTAACAAGTGTTAGTCTTAAGTACAGCTCACTCTATGGAAATAGCATCTCTACATAAGACTTAAGCCCTTACACATGGGGTCAGCATGTATGCATCAGCCATGTAATTTCCATGAAGAAATGTCTCTCAGTAAAATTTTAATATATGAAATCACATCTGAACATCTCACTGTTTTAGTACCTAAGTTTCTACACAAAGCATCATGTAAATATACACCAACTTACAGATAATTCAAACTAACACTTTTAAATACATATTTTCCTCAGACACACACACACCCCCTTACCTGTGCGGACCACCACAGCCCTGACCAGTTCGCCTGTGTAGAAGCGGGTCTGGATGACGTTGGTGCCGCAGAATAGTGTGTGTCTCTTATGCTCCTCTGTGTTGTAGGCACTGTCAGCCTCCTCCCCCCTCTCACCTGACACTGGGTTTGGGAGGTGGGTCTTTGTCACGGGAACGCTCTCACCTGATGCGGGGTAGACTGATATTAGGACTGGCTGCTGTGAGAATTACAGGTAGAGCATTTAGCTGTTTGGAGTATCCAGTGGTCGGCTGTAATGTTTATCTACCAAAATATCAAGTATTCAAACAACTACGACTTAAATGATCAGATTTTGGCTCTAACCTGTGAGCATGCTTTCATTGACGATACAGGTGCCGCTGACCAACACGGCGTCACATGGCATAATGGTCCCATTGCTGGGGATGACCATCACATCACCGGGCACCAAATCAGTAGACAAAGTCTCTTCGATTTCTGCCAGGAAGTGGGGTACAATGGAGTAGTGGAGAAGGTAAATGTGTGCATTTCAATAAATACAGGTGGAGAGCAGTGTGAGGAACAAAGTAGGTGATAGAAAATGATGATTGTGGAGAAAGGTGAAAAGTGTGTAAATGAGCCAACAGTAGCGGGGGTGGGGGGTAAGAAAGGCGATATTTTGTCTTTAGAGTCTTGTTCTGCACATCTCTCATTACTCACACCTCTAGGCTGCAGGAAAAAGGCTGAGGCATCACAAGCAGGGGCCAGTGCAGTAGATGAATGCATAACAAAAAATATAAGCAGTGTACAAACTTCCACAGCAATGTTTCTAACTGGTTCTAAACATTAGTTTAATTTTAAATTGGCTACAGGACTGCCAGTGCATCACCTCTGGAGACCACCCAATTTGATTTTAAGAGGCATGCAGACATACAGAAGTATGTGCAGAACTGTTAAACGTACACATATCCTACACCCACTGTCTAACATACACACTCTCTCTCTCTAGGCCTACATTGTCCCACCCCAGCAGTGATCTGGAGGACAGCCAAAGCAGAGTGACTGTGTAATTGTGTCTGGTCCAGCAAAGAAGCAGAGAACTACTACTGTCAGAAATGGTTTGGAATGCGCTCTTGGAAATAAAATGATACATGCTGTGTACTACTATTAAAATAACTATACAGAGGCCATCTGCAAGAAGAAAATAAAAACACAAAAACAAAAAATATATATAGACAAACCATTGTTGGCTCGGCATACGGTCACACGGACAATACTGTGAGCTGCCACCATATCGTGAAGCATGATGTATTGCTGGAAAAAAGAAAAAGAAATCCGATTAAAACCTCTAGATAACTTCTTTACTCTGAGGGTATTTTTGTCTGATGTTGGGAACTATGATGCCAGGGGCAGCAGACCGTGTGCAGATGAGCCTTTGCTACGCTTTGCTATGCTATCCTGAAAAACCCTGGATTAGAAACGGGCGGTTCGGCGAGTGTGTCCGATATGGCTCACACCTGGCCAAGAACTGGGGTTATACCGGGTACATTACAAATGCTACAATGTGCTTAGACACGCTTCAGTAAGGTTACTGAGAATTTACAGTTGTGTATTATTTTTTTCAGGGGAAAAAAACTGTCCGAGCAGGTTACATGACAGTGACAACCATATTTATTAAAGATGCGTTCCTGTGATTCTCTTTGGTACAGTTTGGTACTTGTTGCCCTGTTCATGCAGCATAACCACACAGCAGCGCGACTCCAATCTGTTGGTTGCTCCAATGCTTTCTGCTCCGGTAATGACAGTCAGTCATCAGACAGTCACTGCTGTCAGCAGCCAGGCAAGAGAGACGCTCTGTGGTGCGCTGGGATTTTATAATTTAACTATGAGCATGATGCACACTTTTACTTTTTCTGACTGTATGGGAATCTGATGTTGATTAAGAACGGCACTTCCATTCGTAGTAAAATTACACCAAGTAATTACAGCATAAGAGTCACTGGTTCCGGCTGTGCAGAAAGGCTGAATTAAACAATGTAGTGTGAGTAAACACAACGTACAACATTAATATTCTTATCCAAGTCTTAAAGGCAGCTTTATGTGACATTTAGATTATGAAATATCTTTTATAAAAACTTAAAAGTCTGAATATTGCCTGTGAATATTTATACCAAATTTTATGGCAATCTGGCCCGTAGTTGTCGAGGTATCAAAGTGGTAAAATGTATGCATGTACAGACAAACTGACAGACTGACAAACCGCCAAACAAACAGACAAAAATAGAAAAAAAATGAACCATGCCATCCTTTGGCCCTGTTAGTGGGTTTAAAAAAAATTATAGCAAAAAGCGCGTGAATAAAATAATAAAAAAACTTGTTTCAGAAAATCTAAATTAAGGATCCTAAAATATAAATTGGTAAACAGTTCATTATTGGTGGGTTGCATAAAGATATATACAGTATGAGAAGTGACATTTAACCAGGTCTTGCCATAGCTATGTGGTCGGATAAAATCGTTTTGGATTAATAAAGAGTCTCAACATGATGTGGAGCTCACCTTTTTGATGGTGTACAGAGAGGTAGCTATGGATATGACCGACATGAAAACAATGGCCACAGCATAGTAGTAATACTCATCGGCACTCCACAGGATCACGCTGAAGAGCTGGAAGATGTAAAAAGGGTTGAGGACCTGCAGTAGGAGAAAGAGAAAGAGGTTAGTGTGGAAAATGCAGAGGTGCGAGCATATACCATGAATTTAAAAACAGAAATGTCTACTTGAGGACGTGCCCAAGAAGCCACCTGGACAGTGAGAGGAGAATACAAGTGATCATGTTCCCATATGTCCCATTTACAGTTCAAATTTATTTGTCCACGAAGGTAAAGTGCAACATAAAAAAGACGTGAAAACACATTATAAAGAGCAACACAGAATCTGCAGTACTGCATCAACGAACAAGCGTACTCACTGCAACAGCAATAAGAACAATACAGTGATGACTATCCTGTACCTCCTTTTCCCTGCGTTGAGGAGGGTAATGGCGGTTGGGATGAATGACTTTAAATGGGTTTGTCTTAACTTAGGGGAATTTGAAGGATGGAATTGGCCCTCTTCACCATCAACAGACAGTCTACTCTGCTGGATACCTGTAATTTTGCTGCTAGTGTTCAATATTTTAACCAGGGTATCCTTGAATTTGATATTTAGATTCTATGTAGGATTTGTAAGAGTATCATCAAGGACCTGTCAACAGGAAAGTTGCAGAGTTTCCGTAGGCAGAAAAGTCGTCGTTGACCTCTCGTGCAAACCATTTCAGTATTACATTCAAAACTGATGATTGAACAAAAAGGTATAGCTGATGACAGATTCCACTTCTTGACCCTCAATGATGGTGCTGAGTGGAAGAAGGGTGGCGCCAGATGTCTATGCATGTCTTTTGTCTTCAATACATCGATTTCAAGGAATGAGTTATTGCACCAGTTTAAAAAACAAAACAGGTCTCTACACCTGAGTCATCCGCAGATTTCAGCATATAAATCTGATCCGAGATGTATACTTGTAGCTTGAGATATACTGGAGGTACATTTTGTACACAAAGATACCGCACGTAAATAAAGTTTTAAATAAAAAGTGCGGCAGTGCATACTTGATACACATGCACCTTTGGTTTGAATTTGCGTTGTGACCCAAATTACTGTGTTGGTCTGCAGAGGACATTAGTGTTGTATTTACCCTCATACAGCACTCCTCTAGCAGAAAGTAAGCAGATATCCCAAATAGTTTCCTTAGTATGTAAGTTAAGTATGCAAATAACTGCAAATGTCTCTTTATCTAGCTGTGAAAGGGTAAATTCCCAGATCAAAAAATTTCATCAAATTGAAAGTGTAACAGAAACCTGGTAAAAGGAGTTATAATACGGTTAAAATTGTCTCAGCACAGAGTACAGAGGAGCAGTTGTGCCCTTAAGTATATAATTAAATAAGTAGTTGTTTGTATTGCTAATATACTGTTGTTCCTGTTTGTATTCTAAATGACTAATGCCTTGCATACATTTCTACAGGACACACTGGTCTGACGGTGGTGTTTGCTTTAAGGAATTTAACCGAAACAATAACTTTTTGCAAGTAACAGTTATTTTAAATATCTATTAATCCAAAGATTATTTTCTTAGCAGCTTATTTTGTCCAACCAACAGTCCAAAATATCCAGATAATCTGTTTAATATCACAGAAAAACTAGAAAATGTATTTAATTTCTCTTCTTTGAGAAGCTGGGATCAGTGATTTTTTTGGCTCTATTAATTAAAATGACTTGATTATTTGATTATTAAAATTGTTGCAGATTCATTTTCTGTTTGTCAAATAATTGATTTATCATTGCAGTGCTACTTGGAAGCACATTATGAAACATGCAAAAGCTACAATCGATTTCAAGTCAGCACTTAAAATGACCTGAAGTTATCATTCACTGATAAAACAAAATGATTGAAAAAAATAATTTAAAAAAGGCACGTTTTATTGTATTCTTAAAAAATAAATCAATATTTCTTTCAAAACTAGTACAAATTGGTAGCACACAATCAAATATCTACCAATTAACAGTTGCACAAAACAATGTCCATTGTCTGTAAATTCACAAACTGAATCCCAGGCATTAGCTTAAAGTTTCAAATGTAATACATTTAAATGTTTCAGATAAAATTATAATTTCATAATTTGCATTTAGCATTAAGAAACCTGCAAAAACAGTAGGATGAGCTCACAGGTGTGTTTGATTCAAGGAAAATTCAAACTCTTCAGTTAAAAAAAAAATCTGCCTCTGTTAATGCAAAATGGGCCCTACCTCTTTGATAAGCAGCTTGAAAACAGAAGGCACTTTCACTGCAATTTCATTCACTCCGAAGAACAGTCTCCTGACGAGAGGTAAAAGACACATTCATGAGTCAAGTGTGAACCAGACGAATATACGTAAACACACCCAATAGTGTTTCAATCACTTTCAGGGACATTACATTGATTTATATTCATTCCTAGAAGACTTGCCCTAACCATAACCTGCATAACCTAACATTACCCTAACCTTGGGGACGTTTTGATCCCACAACATTAGTTAACACCCGTCCACACACACAAACATGCACACACTATAAAGAAAAGACACATAAAAATTAAAAGGTTAAAAAAAGGTATGCAGGTTTTCATTCTAAACATTACCAGATGATTTCACTGAATAGTTCCTCCGTTTTTGTTGAGGGGCTTTCAACCACCAAAATATTTGGGCTCTGTACAGTGTTAAGTGTCATAACATGTCCGCACTGACTTCCCCTGGCCATAGAAGAGATACGGACAAAAGGGCTCATAAACTGCAGCTATTGTAACTCACAGCAGAATAAGAGTACCCTCCTCCTGTCTGGCTGTCATAAGTTGTGCGACCTATCTTCAGACACATCAGATGTTACCTGTACTCCTGCTGGTTCCTGGTCAGGCCTGCGCTGTGCTCCGAGTGGAGGGTGGAGCAGCTGACCTGCAGATCTTCCAGGCCACTGTAGGGGAAAGATAGGTCAAAGTCGACAAAAAATTACAAATAACAGTGCCAGCAATGCAAAGCTGTAAATGCAAAGGCTTGTTTTGCTATACAGTTCTTTATGAGTTAACAAACAGGGCTGCACAAATTCAGTTTTCATTACTGTTGTGTATTACTGTACACATCCGGCTTGATAAAATCCTTAGCCTATTTAGCTTACTATAAGAGAAAGTGCCAAGTGGTATAAAAATAGCCCATAAAAGTGTAGTAGATGATCAAAGGATGCTTACGTTAAAACTTCAAAGTTCTGCAGCTCGTCGTTCCAATAATACTTTGTGCTATGGAAGGTAAAATAGCGAATCTGAGGGAAAAAGAATAGGGAGGGTGTGGAGGAAATTACATTATATTTGTATTTTAGAGTTTATTGTTAGAATAAGTGTCATGTAATGTATGTGGTCAACAGAATCTACCCACAAGAAGAGCAAAGAGTGCATGTGTCTCTGAAACATATGTTTAACATTTATGATATTTCACCATCATAACATAAATATTATGTCTAATTACACATGACAAAATCATACACTGAAAGTCCTGGAGCTGCTCTATGGTTGCCATTATTGGTGTGTTCAGCGTGTGTGTAAATAAAATATTTTGTGGAGACGGGGCGCCTACCTGTGTGGGCTGGTAGTCGTCAGATCTTCTGATGAGCTCCTGAGCAGGGCTGCCATCGGAGGGGTGGGGGAGATGTCCGTTGGCCAGAGGGGGGAACGTAGGGGAGGAAAAGGGGAAAGTGGGAGAAGAAGGGGAGGGGGGGGAGGTGGTCTGGGTCTCCAGGCTGCGGAAGGGGTTGCTCCCTGTGGCCAGCATCACGCGCACCCTGGCCACAAACCAGCGCCGGAACTCATCCTAGTCGGGGAAAGGAAAAAAACAAAACAAAAACAAAACCACAAAGTTGTATAACTGGACTTTTAATGAACTTCATTCATAAACCCCGCCCATTACTAACTAACCTTAGCACTTACTCTGCAGTATTTAGTACATTTCTGTCACGGCTGCATGTCTAAAATACATTAGCAGGACAGATAGATAGATTTTTATATATATATATATATATATATAGCATTTAGCTTCCTGTTTGGTACTTATAAGTCATGCAAAGCAAAAACACAATGCTACTGACAGTTTCAGTTTAGGTATTTTTATTAAAATATTTTGGACTTAGCCTACACTTGCACGGTTCATGTCGCCGTATTTACTTTGCGATGACTTCCAGTCTGTTTTCCGCCGCCACTATCATTTTAAAACTCTGTTTTTAAACAAAAACGTAGTAGTGAGGATGTGGCCTAATCCTAGCTCTAACCTAACCCTCATTCAAGTTCCTATTTCTGAACAAGCCTCTTTAAGTGAGCAGTAGCAAAATGTTTACACTTGAAGGCTGTTCTTAATAAGAGCTGCACTGATCGATCAGTGCATTTGCGTTTTCAGCTGGATCAACCGACCATGTTATACTGCAATTCATTTACAGTTGCATTTTAGTTGTACAAAAAAGCTTTATTTTAAGATTTGTGACAGTGAAAGGTCCTGTAACAGTTTGGGAGAAAATGTAGACATAATTTAATAGTCATTGTTTTATTGTGAACGTACAATCAAATGGACCCCAGAAAGAACAGCCAATGCTTATGCTGCTGCTAATTGGGATTCTAGAAAGTAAGGAAGAAATTTGCAATTAAAGAAAGTTACAAAAATGACTGCATGTGTTGTAAAAAAAAAAAAAAAAAAAAAAAAAAAAAAAGAAACTGGAATCGGCCTAGAGAATTTCATTCAGAGCATCTCTATTCTTAAAGCTTTAACCCGCGTGTGTGTGTGTGTGTGTATATATAAAATCAACACCCACAATCAGACATTTGGATTCATACACAGATGGTTAAAGATGAACGCTAACACATGCACACATGCATGAGACCAACACAGAGAGAAAGGAATGCAGACACACAAGCACACGTGAATCTTGTGGACACACTGTACAGAAACATGGCATTCCTGCTGGTGTGACTGTCTGTAGGAATCAGTCAGGTGAAATGTATTTACTGTTGCTACTACAACACATCGGTTATATTCACTTGCAGCTTTAAAACCACATGAGCTTGAGGTTTATATCTTCTGTACACCCATATGCCAAGCTGTGCCTGACAGCCTTTGGACTTGACTCTCCTGTGGTAAACTGACTTGAAAAAAAAAAAAAACAGATTTATAAAGAACCCTGTGTTTCTATTATACAACAGACTGGGAGTAGCTGTGTCAAAGGGCAATTGTATCATTTCATTTGAATCTTTAAATGTAAAAGTAACATAAAAGTATTAATAATTATTATTATTGCTTGGTAGATGTCTGATACTGTACCATTTAGAATGCTGAAACAAATGCAATTTAAACTGCACCATCCAGTATGCTCCTACATCAGGCAACAGCTTAACCTTTGTGCTTTTAATACTAGTCACAGTGGTTGGTACATCTGCTTAATTAATTCATCATCTGTGTTCACTACTTTATTTCATTACCTTTCTGGGCTTTCAGTGGCTCAGCATAAGATGTGGAAACATTTACTTTTTAACTAAAAATTTAAATAGTTTAAATGTAAATATAAAACCTCACAGTTTAGCTTGCTACAGGGGCTGCAACTAAATTATTTTTATTTTACATTCATCTAATGATTCTTGAATTGCTCAGTCTATAAAATGCTAAAAATGCTCCTCATCCTCATGAAATTAGAAAAGCAGCTAACTCCTCACAGTTGAGACGCTAAAACCAGGGAATATTCTTGCTTGAAAAATAACAATTATTGGATTACCTAAGTAGTTGTGGAAACATTTCTGTAGATCAACTAATCAATTAATCATTGTAGCTCTACTTGCTACCTACCGTGGAGCGCAGCAAAACCACTTCAGCATCACGGGCTGTGGTACGGGTGCAGGTGGATTTGACGCACCACTCTGGCATCCAGTAGAGCAGCAGGAGGAGGAAGCCCCCTGTACACAGCACCCCGAGGCCCACAAGGGCCAGGCGCCAACGACACAGACGGTAGCCCTGCAGCTCCTAAAGGGTGGAAGGGGAAAAGGGGTGAATAAGTCTTGAAGCACGAATTCCAATTTTGGCACTGATGTAAAATGAAAATAAGAGGCGTACCATCTCCTCCTCTTCCCCTTTGTTGAGGACCTTCAGGTCTTCCTTCTCCATGCTGCAGAACAGTTTGCCAAGCCCCTCCCTTACTCACTGCAAACACAACAGACAAAATGTCAGGGTGATCAGCGTGGAAAAACATTTCAGCTCCACAACAGCCTATAAAAACAGCGTCTCCACACCAGAGGGTCAGACACCCCAGGTGGGGTCATGAGATATTTTCTAGGGATATGATGCAAAGAGCATTGTATTTTTTGTATTTGTCATAAACACATTTATCACATTTTCGCTTCCTCCTTTCCATAATGGTGCAAAATAGCCTAAAACTGGAAAAACACTGATCATCAATAATAGTTTTTATTTTATAAAGTTACCTCTGCATTTCTGTGGTTGCAAAATCATGCATACAATACACATAACCACATAGCTGGGTTCTCATTTGTAGCATTCGTTTCGATGTCTCACTCTGGGATGCGCCTCCCCGCGTATTCCTCAGAAGTATTTATCTCATTACGTCAATCCTGATTGGCTGGTGATCGTGGTATCTGCATTTAGTGGACCCACCTACCCCTCAACAATCGAATCTCATAATTGAAAATCGAATATGTACCCAATGGTCGAATATTTGGGTCCAGCCCTAGAAGCTAGGATCTCATTTCAGAAACAAGTCCTGTTTCTCCTTTAAAGCCAGAAAGAGACGCGTCTCTGCTACATTTTTACCAGTTCTTTATTAGGGTGATCTGTTGTATATGAATGCATCTGTACTTGTTTGCACATGTTAGATACTGCATATCACAGTGCACCATACTTGCCCTCTCCCAGTCCCCTCAGAGGGGTTACAATTCTCCTGATTTATGACAATTGCCACAACTGGTTTCTGGCACTGTGTGTAAACCCTACAACTCCCTCTCTCTACCGTTTCCACCCAGACAACAATACAGCTTCACCAGAAGAGAGCTCACTGTATACTCATACACACTCTCTCTGTCTCTGCCCCTGCAGGCACTCCTCTGGTTATGTGTCAGTGTTAGCTCCTCCTGTGTTTCCTTTTGTTGATTTTATGTTGAACTTTCTCACCCCATGAACACCCCACACTACTGATATACAGTGGATAGTGGAGTAGAAAAAGTCTACACACCCCTGTTAAAATGCCAGGTTCTTATGATGTAAAATAATAAGACAAAGGTGAATCATGTCAGAACTTTTTCCACCTTTAATGTGACCAATTCAATTGAAAAAAATCTTCAAAGGGGAAAAGTGAAAAATAAAACCCCTCAAATAACCTGTTTGCACAAGTGTGCACACCCTCTTATAACTGGGGATGTGGCTGTGTTCAGAATTAACCAATCACATTCAAACTCAGGTTAACTAGAAGTCATTACACACCTGCCATCATTTAAAGTGACTCTGATTAATCACAAATAAAGTTCAGCTGTTCTAGTAGGATTCTACTTTTCTTAGTTGCATCTCTGAGCAAAAGCCATGGAACACAGTGAAGACAGTCATCATCAAGTGGAGAAAATATGGCACAACTGTGACTTTACCAAGAACTGGATGTCCCTCCAAAATTGATGAAAAGACGAAAAGAAAACTGTTCAGGTAGGCTTCCAAGAGGCCTACAGCAACATTAAAGGAACTGCAGGAATTTCTGGCAAGTACTGGCTGTGTGGTACATGTGACAACTATCTCCCGTATTCTTCATATGAATGGGGTAGGGTGACAAGACGGAAGCCTTTTCTTACAAAGAAAAACATCCAAGCACGGCTGAAGTTTGCAAAAACAAACATCAAGTCCCCCAAAAGCATGTGGGAAAATGTTTTATGGTATGATGAAACCAAGGTAGAACTTTTTGGCCATAATTCCAAGGAACACCATACCCACAGTGAAGCATGGTGGTGGCAGCATCATTCTTTGGGGCTGTTTTTCTTCAGCTGGAACTGGGACCTTAGTCAGGATTGAGGGAATTATGAACAGTTCCAAATATCAGGCAATTTTTGCACTAAACCTTCAGGCGTTCGGTTGGAAAGCTGAAGTTGAAGAGGAGTTCACCTTTCAGCACGACAACGACCCAAAGCACACATCCAAATCCACAAAAGCATGGCTTCACCAGAAGAAGATTAATGTTTTGGAATGGCCCAGCCAGACCTGAATCCAATTGAACATCTGTGGGGTGATCTGAAGAGGGCTGTGCACAGGCGATGTCCTCACAATCTGACAGATTTGGAGCGCTTTTGCAAAGAAGAGTGGGCAAATATTGTCATGTCAAGATGTGCCATGCTAATAGACTCCTACCCACCCACAGGGGTGTGTAGACTTTTTCTATCCACTGGACATATCCCATGCATTTAGATGTTTTGTTGTGTGTAATTAGGTTACAATTCTGTTGCTTTTGTAATCTTGAAACTCTGCCACTTTGTCATAGCCAGGTTGTGCCTGCAAAGGTAAAGGATTGTCTAGCAGGTGCCTTACAATTCCATAATCAATGAATTTGACAACTTAAGGATACGTTTTGAGTTTTGCCTAATCCATTTAAACTGGTTTCTCAGCAGCATACACACAACTCACAGGCAGAGTTTTATAGTAAACAGGTGGATGACACTGCAATGCATCCAGCCAAATCATTCTCAAGGCATTAGAAATGAGATATCAAACTTTTTCAGTGCTATATTTATCTGAACAACAAGCGGACAATTTCTACCATATGAAGAAAATGTCAGGACACGCTACAAGAATGCACAGCATTTTCCAGACAGCTGCATGCCCCCAGAACACCTGAGATTATCTCTTAAGAGTGTCATCACACCCACACACAGACCAACTGAGTCATCAAATATGCGTGTTACCCAATATCAAGCTGTCCGTCTTCTCTCCTCTCAGTTCTCCCTGGAGGACTAGCCAGCAAGTCTGCATTGGTAGTGACTGAGAGGGGCATCTAGGTCAAAAGATGAACAGGCCCTGGACAAGATGGGCTGCACACAATCTGTCTATGTTGCTAAAAGCACAATCAAACTACAGCAGGTTACTTTTTGCCATTTTGTTGCTAACGCACTAGACTGAGTTTCAGAGAGAAACAGTGAAGCTGAATGTGTGTGGACTCAATCTGGGTAAGTATGAACGAGAGGTTAAAAAAAGTTACTGGTTTAATGGTCAAGAGTTGTGACAATTAGTCAATTAGGTACCAGGGCTGTACCGAATGTCATATTTTTTAAGATCCAAAGCTGTCGTCGTATTTTATGACTTCATCGCCCTAAAAAAAAAAGTAAAATCCTCAATATCAATAAAGTGATTCACTGGATTTAATAAGTTAGTCTTTTTGTTAAGTACAGGCAGAATGAGTAGGATTTGCTGGTTGCTGTTTGTAAACACACGATTCAAAGTTGGCCCCATGCTCTGAGAGAGAGAGCAGCGGTGGTTGAGGCAGAGAAATACATTATTATCTGATTGTTTCATGGCGGTTACGTTCTAAAACACAAATAAGCACGGTCACACCTCCAAACACCCCTGCAGGAAAGAGCCACATTGCCGTATTTTCTGTGCTTGTGCTGCGCTTGAGTGTGTGTGTAGCTCAGCCCCGCCCTCGGTCAGACAGATACACAGACCTGACAGAGAGCAGAGAGAGATTGAGACAGCGATGTAGCCATTTTTATAAATTCCCAACCTCACCGCACGCACAGCAGAATGAATAGACATGAAAAGAATCTGTGCAGCATTCGAATATTGATTTAGAATATGAGTGTCAACATAATGAACAAAGTTTCCAACTATTTGGTACAGCCCTATCAGGTACACTAAGGACCCCCCCCCCCCATGCACACAAAGAAAATTTAAAAACAATACGAAGAGACACAAACACAGGGAGAGTTAGAACACTCTGACCCTAGCTGTCGCTGAGGAGCGCTGGCATGGTGTTTCAGGGCACAGTGCCCATAGGGCCACCCTGCTACTGCCCCCACACTACCCTACAACGCCCACTGATCCTGTATCACTGCCCCCCCACACGCCGATATTATCTGCCAGCTGCACCCGGGTGGACTTCTTCTCTGGCATACAGCGGGATATTTTGCTTAGGACCAAGCCCTTCCTAGTATTTTACAATAGCAGCCCCCTGGCCGGTGCTAGGCAGTGGGTGCAGTGCAAGAACATTCCCTCCCAAATCCCTGCTTTGAGTGGAAATGCCTACACCACTGCATCATGGACACACTATTTTACAAGACTGCTGTCCTGGCATGGTGACTCAGACAACAAACCTACGAAAACAGCATTTAAAAGTATCAGGCTTATGTGGTTACTATAACTAAAGAGTGTTACATAGTCTGTTATGTTGGAAACATCTGTTCATCATCAGCTAACAAAGGGTTGAAACCTCAGAAACAGACAGTGTTTCATAATTATAGGCTCCAAACAGACAATAGGCCAAAGTTAAAACTTGGTGGCTGAGAAGCCAGCCATGTTTACCCTGTTATATCGCAAGTACCAATATGTTACATGTTAACTCAGGAAAGTTATAATTTAATTTAGGTGAGCTTGTGGAAGAACATGGATGGGGAAACTGCCACAAAATCATCATTATGTATAATTCATATACAGAAATATTAAGAAACAATGTGAAAATAGTTTACATCAGTATAATAAAACTGTTGGGTTCGAGGGGCCACAAAAGTTACTTCAAATAGCTAGTCAGAATTATTGCAGCGCAATCAGCTCCAGAAAATGTACAACCTGGGTGTCTGGCAGTTTTAAGGTGGATTTTTGTAACTGATGAGGCTGAAGATGGTGATCTGTCAGTAAGAAAGATTCACTTACTAAAAAAAGTTTAGTTGGTTGGTGTGCTCTTACCTTGAGAGCCAGGGACACGATGGCCCAGGCGGTCCTCCTCCCCGCAATTAGCTTGCTCTCTCGCCACACCAACCTGGAACCCTGTGGGGAGGGGGGGAGGGGCATTACAAACAACTTTCAAAAACTTCAGGTCTTTCCACTAAAGTGACTGTGATGAACTGGATGTTAACTGGGAGAGAGACGGTCACAGAACAGTAACATATCACCCAAAGGGAAAAACAATAATGATAAATGTGTACTGAGCTGGAGCAGAACAATATGTTAAAAGAACATGTCAAGGTGTACTCACCATGTATGTACTTGCCAAGTACGGGATAGGACTCTCTTAAGTAACTAAATTAAATGTAAATCGGTGAACAGTCTGTACTTTAGTTTGAAGTTACTCAAAGTCCACCAAATAACTATCAGCATCATGGAATACACCACAAGAGTGTAGAGATATTGAGAAGGTGTCTATGCTAATGCAGATTTTAGGACAGAATATCATGTACTAGGCCACACTGTAGAGGGTGAGTGAAATGTTTTTCCATCATCTCAAGTTCAGATATCGATCTTCCTGTTCCCACAAGCTCTGGTGGACTTATGTTGTGGCTAAACCCGTCTCATGCTGACTCATTTTACACTTCATTGCCAGTAATGCTTTCCCATTCTGATTAAAGAACCTTGCTTAAGGTATTGCTACTCATCATGACACTGTAGGCGTCATGTTATGTTTTTAGTATATGTTTGGAACTAAAGCCGCGGTTGGGATACAGTCTTTGGAACACAATTTAAACACTTTTTATGTTATTAATGAATTTTCGTTGCTTATATTAAGTTAAATTACAAAGTGTGTTAAATAAATTAGTCTGATTTTTGAAGTGACGAGAAGTTCTTGAACTCCAAAAAGTGGCGGCTTTTAACGTCATAACGCCGACACACAAGCTGATGCAGCTACATTGTTTTACATGCTATAAGAATACATCTGCTTATTCGTTTTTGTCTAATATAATTGTTTGCTCCAAATATGCTGCCCTGCTGCCAGTAGACTTGTCCATGTTTGCGATTGGTCCTATGCTACAAACACCATCCCTTTTATGTGAACGCGACCATGGCTGGATTGGGGAACCGAGTTGATAACCAGCTTTGTGTGCCTGATCACGATTGTTACTGATAGTGAAGCTAGATAACGAAATATCGATAGATATCCTGCATATGTTGAACTTGCTTCGTAGTATAGGCCCCTGTCGTTAATCTGAGGATGACAGGAGAAACCAGTGTGTTTACACGAGAATAGAGGACCCTGGTAGGGCCTCTAAGTCAGCATGACTGCAGAGATATTTATAGATTCCTCCAGCCCAGCCTAAAGCCACATTGTTGTCTCTCATTTGATTAGTCTGCTATTATATTAATAAGCAAAGCTGGCTTGGGAAAAAAACAAATGAGGCAGCTGTTGATCGTTTTTCAAACTACAAGATTAAACACGACAATCATTATTCCAGCATTCCTGGAAAAAAAAAATTGTAAGATGTCAGGGGGGAAAAAAGTCTATCAAACCACAACAGAGGTAGAGAGCTATCTGAGCCCGAAGGCAGACCAGGTTCTTCAACCAAGCACATCTTTTACACAGCTCAGGGGCACATGTATTATGAGATGATTATCTGTGGACAGACAATAATTGTTAATTTATTTCATGATGCGAGTTCTGACTCTCCAATTCATCAACCGCTTTTTTTAATCTATAGATATGTTCATTAACGTTGGCAAACATTTATAGTTTAAATGTCAAGAACAGAAGCAATATTAGTACAACTATAGGACTAGGGCGACAACAATAATTATATTCTTCTTTACTGCTAATTATTATCTATAGAATGATTGGAAAACAGAAAAATGCCCATCACAATATCTCAAAAACCCAAGGTGTCGTCTTCAAAAAGCTTGTTATGACTGACCAACAGTCCAAAACCTAAAGATATTTCATTTACCATCACATGTGACATAGAAAAAGCAGCAAATGCTCTCATTCGAGAAGCTGGATCCAGAAAATGGAAACTTTACTTAAAATGACGATGATGATTATGAGATTGTCATAAAGTCCAATATCTTCATTTGCGAAATATCATCTACAAAGTTAAGATCACTTTTGAATGAGGCTAAGCTTTTGAAGCAGCTTACACATACACTTTTACAAGAACTAGAAGTAGTAAATAACTCCAGGATAACTAAGACTAGACATACTCTCCTTTCCCTTTCTGTCTCGTTCTTCAACACACAAAAAGGAAAATGCAAACAATGAGCCCTGACCTAATGACATAGGTCTATAATTCGTGGAAGCATTTGAAGGAAAAAGTGTTTTGTTGCCATCATGCTCTGCACTCAATGTGCTTTCTTTATCACTTCCCCTCCTACTCATGGGGCATTATAGCCATGCTTTGTTCCCCCATCACAGGCCAATCAAGCTGCTTATCACTTTAGCCACTGGCCTTACTAAAAATCTATGACCATCTGCCCTTGCTCTGCTGCCTGAACAGTTGAAAAGTCTTTCTCAGCCAGTTTTAAGAGCCCACTGCCAACTTGTGGAAAATATACCTATAAATAACATTTTATTTTAGATTTATGCATACAGAGGGGATGTAGCAAGGCAACAAGCACATCCAGTTCAATATTTAGTGAGGAGATGATTATCTAAAGAGCTAACAGGGCAGACACACCGTAAAAAGTTTCTTGCTTCTCAAACTTCAAACTCAGTTTAAGCTTATTGAAATTTGAATCGTCTAGTCAAACTCACCTATCAATGCAGGAAACATCCACACCTCTAATCCTGAGCATCAGCCTCAAAATGCATCACAGATACAGTTTGTTTTGAGATGACATACGCACACTTCAGAGCGCAACAAAGTGAGAAAGAATTGTCAAAATTACAGGCTGCTAAGATCGATGCCGAGGGAAGGGGGCGTTAACGTGGATGAGCGTGGAGTGGAGGAGGACAAAAAGATCTACAACGAGTGAGTCTGAATGTGAGCAATCCTGTAAAAAGAAAAAAAATACTTATGAGAAGAAAAATGGAGGGAAAGGGCTGGGAAAAAAACAATAATCCTACAGATCAAAAGTGTGCTGAGTGTTAAGTCAGACCACATGCTTTTGGATTAACAGTGGCATTGCATGACAGTCTATGAAAAACGGCCACTGTACTAGAAATCAAAACACATTTTACTTCATTGACCGGCTTGTTGGTTTACTGACCGCGGGTGAGAAATTTCTACATGGATGTAACAGATTTTTGAATTATTCAAAGTTAACTTGTGCTCATAAAAATAAGTAAACTGGCAAATGTCTGAATCATCCGAACAACTGTTAATAAAGATGAGCTAGAGCTAAGAGTGTGGGTCACAACACAAAAACTACAAATGATGCTTCTATACATGTCCTAACAGCACCTGACAACAGACAGCCACCACCCTTAAGCCTAGCTCACACTACACGATTTCAAGCCAGATTTCCCGGTCGGTGAGCTCGGCGACCGTCAGGCTGTTATCAGGGATAAATTAGCGATGGCTCGACAGTCACCACTCGTTATGTGTGAACTACTTAACCCTGACACATCGGCGACGCAAGCCAGAAATCCAGCATCCAGTCAATAAGAGCAGGCAGCTGGCAGAACAGGGAGCTACTTTTTCACCGCAAAACACTTTTTACTCACATCCAGCTCTCTCTGTAGCAGACGATCTCTGCTACCTGCATGTGCCAATCCATTCTTTCACCCACTCTCTTTGTTTTTATAATCGTTCTCTTTATAATAACAAACAACAGCTATTCAGTGTGTAGGTTTGCGTTTCCCGTTTCACGTGTGTTTTCTTGACAAAACTTGGTTTAGAGACCGGCCCAAGCAGGAAGCTTCCGGTCAGAAAACTGATGCAAACACGGAAGTCCCTTAGACCTGCATTCTATTGAGTGGCCAGCGGGGGCGTCTGTTCTGGTTGCAAAAAGGAGTCCGGCCCCATTAGAAATAATGGTACTATGACCCTACTTCACAGCTGAATAAACACTTTCCTAATGAGTTTATGTTCTCAATAACTAGTTTCAAGTCTTCTTCAATACAACATGATGTTCATTTAGTAAATTATGGTCCCATTTAGAGGAAAATAGACCAAATAGCAGAGTATGCTTCACGGCAGGATTATCTATGATCGACAAGTCGTCATCATGGCAACCTGTCAATCAGGCTAGGTTCTCGTACCCACGGCACTGTGTAAATTTAACCAGCGCTGTTGAAAAAGTTTATTATGAATTGGCTGTTCACTTTCTCTGGTGAGACAAAATTGTCAGCCCTGTTAAAATGACAGTTGAATTACAGATGCACCTAGCTAAGCAAGCTAGCTCGCTCCACACACAGCCGTTAGCTCCACTGTCTCGTTCAAATATGGTCACGTCTGGTGCCGCTGGTTGCAAAAAAATCAACACGGCGGCGGCCTATCAGCCAAACTCGAGGGTTCAAAACGGCATAATTGACGGGTTGTCAGTTCGTGTGTAGTGTGTGACCCTACGTCACTGATCAGTCACGTAACATGAACGCCCGTCACAAGACGGCAAGTGTGTAGTCTTAACTACACAACGATCTGCTGATGATGAAAGTCGTGTAGTCTGCATGAGCCATGCAATCTAGACAGTCAAGAATGCATGCAGATTTGTAAACGATTGAAAATTCACATTTTTAGGGGTCAGGCTAGGCAAAGCCTATCCCCACCTCAGAGGCCAAAACCTTCCTTCACTGTATGTGTTATTTTATATCATGTAAATTCAATTAATTGTTTAAAATAACCATACTTCATGACATTTGATTATTTTCTCCCTTTATTTTCTCCCTCTGATATAAATCAGAGGGAATTTCTATCAGATATATTGATGCAATTATACACCTCTATTCTCAGGTTTGCATTAACTGTGCGAAATTTCACAGTTGTTTATATTTTCATTTGAAGTGTTTCATCTCATTTCCACTGATGAAGGCCGCTAGTTTGTCCTGGTCTTGTTGGAGGCAAACCGCTAGACCGGCACTAGAAAGATCTGTTTCTGTATCACGCTGCTCTGGTGCTCCCACACCAAACATTGCTGGGATGCTGAGATGACTTTTACCATGTCAGGATATTTCTCATCTCCACTCTGAATCAACACTGGCAGGCCTTCCATCACAGGCTGCTGTCTTAAAGCTCACCTGTGAAAAGTCTTGAGGCTTCAGCTCAAAGGCCCGTGGAATATTGGCGCCTCACTTCTTAGACTGCTTCCAACTCTTCAGTTTGAACAAGACCCCAAGCTCCCTCACAGAGAGGAAGAAAGTTCAAAGGTGAAAAGTTCAATTCCTCAATTCCAGGAACCCAGATGATCACAGATGAGTAACATCAAGCAAGTTAAACTTGGCCCAACAATTATTTACCCAAGGGAAAATTTCTACCCTTGTCCTGAGGGGAGTATAAAGCATAAATACAGACATTAGGTCTATGCTACTTGGTCCTGAGACAGGTCTTCCTGAACAAAGCAACCACAATAAAAAGCACATCGACACAGATCTTAAAACAATCCGGCTAATCTCTTAAGGAGCCTTAAGGACCCACTCAAGTGGTAGAGCTGCAATTACTAGTCAATTAATCTATAAGATGAGAGACGGAAAAATAACCAGCAACTATTTTGGTAATTATTTAAATTGTTTTTCAAGCAAAGATGGCAAATATTCTCTGGTTCCAGCTTCCCATTTGTGAGCATTTGCCCCTTTTATGCCACTGTTTTATATAATTGTAAATTTAATATCTTGGACTGTTGATCGGACAAAACAAGGAGTTGAGACAGGACCTTGGACATGGACATTTTTTACTATGTTCTGAAATGTTATAGACTAAAAGATTTGTCGAAAACATTATCAGAAGATTAATCAATAATGGAAAAAAAAAAAATCATTAGTTGCAGCCTTTCTAAGTTTCATCTTTATCTCCCTAACTCCTGCCATGGTTAACTAAAAACAAATCATGTTAAGATAAAACCTACAGTTCAATGTACAAAATTAACATGTTTTTTCATTTTTTTAAAAAATGAATCAATCCACACTAACTCAAGTGACAAATCAATTGAATCATTGTTTTATCTCTAGTTTTAACTGCAAAGCTTTTGTCTGTCATATTAAAAAATGACTTATTTTCACCCTGTAAATGACAAATAGACCAATAGTTCATCAGAGAAACTTTATTTAGGCAATGGGTTAAGTTAATATAGTATCTAGATGTCACCTCTGAATTCTTATGTCTTATGTACGTGAGTTGGAAGCTTTTCCTCATATGGACATAGGAACAACAACAAAACACTGTGTACGTGTAGAGAACCCTCCTCTTAACTCAAAGGTCACATTCTCATTAAAGCCACACAAACTAATTATCTCCTAAGCCTCACTGTGGCAGCACAGAAAGTCATGCGCCAGCCAGCCTACTGTCTAGCGCTCACAGGAGGCTTGGAACAAAGTCCATAAACTATTATAAACAAGGTTACTCATCTACTGTATATGGCACAATCCTGCTAATAAGATTGGGAAGAAAAGACTATGTTGGAAGGCATGGCACCATAACAATTGTTGACCTATTTAGGGAAGGAGTGTTCTACTACTATCTAACAGATGAATACAATTTAACTGATAAAGGGGACTTCTGGATATACCTAATTACAGAGTTGCGTAGAGTCTATGGGTTAAAATACAGGACAGGATTAAAGTGTATTTCAAAGATTAAAGCTTCTAGATAATATACAATCATCCCCTGTATTTTATAAAATGGCAGCAACTGCTCTCTATGGTAAAACCAAAAGCACCCATAACATGGATTGGCCAGTAAGGTAAGTAAGTAAAATAATATAAAATAAGTCATATATACTAGTGGACTCCAGTCAGACTGGTTTAATTCAAAGCAATGAGTGCTGGAAATGTAAGCGATCAACCAATCCGATATTTATATCGGACCGATAGCTGCATCGGGTATCGTGACAAGGGGGCAGATCTATTCAATTCAGTTCCGCGTATAATTCGCAGTGCGTCAGCAGTGTGCCGGTAGACCTGAACATTTTGCTTGGGGAGCTAACATAGCATTTTATTTTCCAGTTAGGAAGCAATATTTAAGCCCAACCTGACGTTGCCTTACGCATAAAGGAATGACTCCCAGTCTCCTCTTCACACTGAGGAATACAGATTATTAATTTTATACTATTGGATCAGTACTCGGCATTAGCCGATACCCAAGGCCCAGGTATTCGTATCGGTGAATGGGAATGAAGAGTGGGACTGTGCGCTGGTTTTCCCATTTGGACCAGAGTGGTTGGATCAGCCCTTCCATGCAACCAGCTGGACTTTTTCAAAGGCACAGTTTTGGTTAGCTCTTGCAGGCTTCCTTAATGCAGCATGGATTATACTAAGGAACTGAAAAGCACACCTTGTTATAAGGGCTAGATTGAACTCATGACTGTTACAGCCTTGTACGAGTCAATGCTAGCCAAACAGAAAGATTCTGTGTCAAAATTAACTGAAATGTGGGGTAGCTTCTGCAGATTTAACTCGTGGTGGGGATCATTAGATAGCAATATGTAATGGAAAGCTTTAATGTATGTCATGTGGGGAATTGTGGCAAGGGGGAGATGCAGTGACCTATCATGCTGTACTGTTTGCTTTCAGTTTTAGTTTTCTGTTTGTGTACTTTGTAACCTGTAGACCCACAAAGGGAAAAGTTTGTTTTGTACTGTAATGGTGCAGCGCTGTTTGAGCGGGAAAAGAATTTCAGTGTCCGTTTAAAGCCACCAATGAGGGAGTCCAAGAGGCCTAGGGCACCTTTGAAGGAGAGTCAGGAAGGAGCTACTGTGAAGGATCAGAGACATTGTGCATACAACAGCTGTTAGCCTAGTGCTTCACCAGCCGCAGCTTTAGGGTAGACTGTCAAAAAGAAAGCCATAGTTGAAAATTATATGTGAGCTACTTTTTGCCAGAAGGCTTGTGGGAGATTCAAAGGTGGCTTTACTAAATACTGACATCATGCATTAATTTAGTTTGTGTTTTAAAAGGCATACTAAACTCAGACAATTTGAAAATATTTGTTTCTAAATAAAATTTGTTCTAATAAATATCTGCATATATCCAAATAATTCATACCATCAAATTACAAAATTTGGTCCCCTGAAAATCATATTGTTTATCTCCTCAGTTAACTTAATTTCTTCGCTCAAATTATACGTATTAGGTTATTGTAGCAGCAGGAACAGAAGATGCGGGTTACTGTGACTACACAGGTCAGTCAGGGGACAGCCATTTACTCCCTAACTGACTGGACTAACCACAGTAACATTCACACAGTTTTAATGCTACACTGGGCATTGTTTCACCAATTCTTGTTTACTCTTTTTGCTGGCTGGCTTTGACTTCAACATGCAGCTGTGTAATGCAGCATGTGCATCATGGACAATCTAAATAAGCTTTATTTTGAGTTTGGAGTGAGCAGTATCAATATACTTTGGGTTTTGGCTGTTGCACACAATACTTTTTCCTCTTTAATGTCCCTTAAAAGTATGTCACAAGATAATAGATTGTTTCTATCTTGTTTGTTAATCCATTGTCAGGGACTAAATGAACTGTCGAATCAGCTAATAACATGGGATTTATTTGTGAATGAGCTATATGTTTTACAGGATATTTCAATTACATGTTCTCATTCACTTGTGTTCGGGTAGCTGTTTTTAACTCCCAGTTTCCCCAGGCTATTAGTGTTTTCTTTAGGCTCGTTTTACTTGTTAACAATGTCCTATACTGATAGTGGAGATCCGACCAGACAGACAGGTGCTTAAGAGGAATGAGCCAAAGCTAACAGAAAGGAGGCAGTCAAACGGCTAACAGTTTCAACAATGACATTCTTTATTTTAATGACATGACTGCCTACATTAAATGATTACTAACTCCGTTAATTAGTAGCAACCACCCCGAAACGAAAGAAGTCTTAAGCCAATTAAGGACCAAAGAAACAATCTTACAATCACATCCAATGTGACTATCGTGAGTCTACGTTGCAACAAAACATGGTAACTTCTAGGTTTAATTTGTTTAGGGTAGGTTTATCTTTTACTAGCCAATATTAACGGCATCCATAAAGAACAACATTCTCTAGCGATAAAACGCTGACCATGAATCATGGCTACAACAAGCCCCAGGCAGCCAGGGGAGTGCTTCATCGGGAAGACGTCGCTGGCTAGCTGGCTAGCGTTAGCAAAGCTTCATTGTTAGCCAGCTCCTTAGTGACTAGCTCAATAACAGCGCCCATGTGTCTTCCACTGGTGGTGGTCTTGCTTTTGGTTTCAGATACTGTTGGACAGAAAAAGGCGCTTCAATAGCAATCCCGATTTCCCGCACACGCATCCGCCAGCTAACGATAGCTTTAGCCCCGCTAGGGAGCAACTAACACATGGGTGATGATGACAGCGATGTAGGCAAACCGCATTAACACATTTCCGAACAACACACTCACCCAGAACCACCTGGACACTCTGAAGATCACCTCCGAGTCATAGTGAGACGAGAGCAGCTGTTATCTGAAGGAAAACGTCGTTGAAGAGAAAAACGGACTAAGTTTAATAGAAAAATGTTGTCGCAACAGACGGGCAGAGTGGATTGTTGCTGTGTGTTGACAGCTCGGTGGGACAGACTGAGTACTACAGCAGTAGTGAACTGGCCTGAACTGGCTGTCTGACGGCAGGAAGTGGCACGGCGTGACATCACGGGAGGACTACACAAAGTGAGTACATGTGCAGCCATCACCCAAAAACGTCCATTCACTCTGATGTGTCACAGCTCAGTGTGATGCACGGACATCATGTTATGATTGTATCTGGTTTTATTGAGATAATCAAGCCCAGCTGATTAAGAAGATGGTCCATCATTAAGGCTGGATCACCAAATAGGCAGAGCGGGCAGCAGCTCCAGTGCCGAGACTTCTAGTGGCCCCATAAGCCACAGGTTCACTGCGTCAATTAGTTTTTGGTAATTCGGTTAATTTAATATATTTGCACCACTAAAACAGCCTGCATTCTTAGCTGATCAAACAACCCTGTCTTGTAAAGGGACCCTGTGTCATAATCTAATTTAAGAAAGACCTTTGTTATTTTAGTTCATATGTGCTCACATGGTGTAGACCTATATTAATCCATAAAGTTGTTAAATCAAATTACCATAACCTAATTTACACACAAATGACGGGGGCCATAGAGTAGCCTACTTTGTCTTAAGCCAATAATTACCATGTTATGTATAACCTGCTTTCACATTTACATTTAGCCGACGCGTTTATCCAAAGGCTTTTGGAATTTCATAATATAAACTCTTTCATAATTTTTGCCCTATGGCCCACAAACAGGTTAATCCAGCCATGATCATTAAGCAAAACGGACTTGCAAAGAGTCTGAGTAAACAAAGAGGGATTAAAATCGAAGCAGCAACAGCCAAAATATCCTGGCTTTTAGTTCCTAGTTTGAGTCAAGCTTCAAGACTTCAACAATACATCCTACATTTCCCATAAGGCAACCAAAAGTGCCTGATGCCCACAGGTTTTAACATAAAACTCCAGGTCCCTAGTTTGAAATGCAGACTTGTAAAAAATTCAAAGCCTCATGCCCAAGTTGAAACATCATCAGGCTTATTTCTTTACACTTTGGAAAGTTCTTCCAGAGCCCCAGGAGACATAATACAAAGGTTTTCTCAGACTGTTACTTGTGACAAGAAAGCTGGTCTTAGTGTGTCACAGAGTCCACAAAGTTTTCAAGCAACTCACTATTATATAATCTTTCATTTAGTGATTCAGTAACACGTTATTTAATAATTAGGCGTATACTTTCTGATTTCTTCCTCACTCATTTACTTCAACTATTCTGGAATTTCTGTTTCCCCACTCCCTCCTCCTCTTCTGACCAACATGCAAGGTGAACAAAATATGCTGCAGGCTCAAATCATCCGGCTTCTTCCATGTCCTCTGCAGTGGAGCGATCACTGACGCACGGGCCAAGAAAAACAGAAAGGCCTGTTCCCCGCTGCTGCTTCAGATGTACTAATCCGTGCTCTTCATCACTTCTGCAAACAAAATTCCACCTTTTTATATGGGACACACAGTTTGTTTTTCTTTGACCGAGTCTCAGAAGGGACAGAGATGAGGTCCAGAGATTGAGCAATGCTAGCTCAGCATTCAACATGACATCAGACGGCATTAGTGTAGTACAAACACATCATTCCTTTCTTTGGTTTATTGGATCTGTTCGGAAATGCAGATGATTAACTTGTGTTTTGATCTATTCATTTGACAGTTAAAGTTCTCAGAAGGTGTACAACAGCCAAACACATAGGCCCATTACAAAAATAAGGCCCTCATGTAAAGTTGGCAACATGAGCTCCTGCCACTATGTGAGTGACTGAACTTATTCAGCATCTCAGATTTCAGGCCTCTTTACCATGCTATACGCATGGGATCCATTCATATCCATGAGCAACATTAGATTGGTCTAAGCAGCAGGAGGCACTACATGGCTTTTCATTGTGGGTTAATTAGCCACAACCCAAATGTATTAAAGACAAAGCAGTTACAGAAATAAATGTATGGCTGAATTAAAGATGTCAGAAGTATTTCCACTATCAGTAAGGCTGGACTATACGGTTGAAAACATTTCACAATATTAAAGGCAGGGTAGGTAAGTTTGAGAAACAAGCAAGAAACTGCTGGATTTTTAAAGTATCCAACGGAGGAAAAACTCCCACCCCCTCCCTTCTGAGCTCCTTCCAAAGCCACGTCCCCAAAACACGTGAACGCGCGTTGCCGACACCGCGGGAGGACGAGCAGAGTATGACGAGCGGAGAGGAGCGCAGTGCAGCGGCGCACATCTGGGATAAGAAAACATCTAACTTTATCATTATGAAAATAAACAACTAACCCGGCTGTTAGTACTCACTATCAAGCTAGCATGTTATTATTGGATAGGTTTAAAAAGACCGACTTTTAATCCATAACGAGCTGCCTAGCTAACTGTTAGTAACAGATAGCTGTGCTACCAGCTGTGGTAACACTGGGCAAAGCTAAAAACAGGCTGATACACATTTTCTCGTTACACTACACGAACGTGAATTTCGTGTTAGACTCATAACATGTACGTTGTTTAGCATGTTAGAGCTTCCACGGTGACAGCATTATTGTCTCTGATGAGGACTGGACTCCAGAGCCAAGCACAGACTCGGACAGGACCAGGGGTCGAGGTGAAGCAGAGGAGGGAGGGCTGACTTTACTGGTAGCATCGTATCGCTGCTGTGGAGATGATTTAATATATCACAATCACCTCTCTGACATGAATACCACATTTCTTTTTGTTTTATATTTTGCTGTATCTAGCAACACAGTTGGGGCAGGGACACCTGACTGAACCCCATGTTGACGGGGATCATCGGGTCTCCTGGTTTTGCTTCTGGGCATCTCCTCAGTAGTAGACAACCGGAAGATCACTTATAAATGTATTGAGTAAAATGCACCAGAGTACTCATAATGCAACATACTGAACTGTGTCATCAGCTTTTCTCCTGGATGGACTGGACATGGTGGTTGTAATCCAGGCCAGCCAGCATGGTCCAATCAGCGTATACTGGTGAGAAGTACAGGGATATGAAAGACTCCAAATCTGCAGGTGACCTGAGGGCACAGTAGAAATAAAACCTACAGGAATTTTTACTTCTGGTAAAAATAAGTACTAGCATAACACCAATTACAGTAAAATGTTTTCACACAGTAGGTTTAGCTACAAACAATGTAAAACTATATTATAGCTAGCTTATATACCAGAAACGCCCCTGCTTGGGGACATCTTTAGCCATCATTGTTTATGTACACTAATGTTGAAATGTCTCTCATAACTACAAACACAGTTACATCACCACATTTGTAAAAGAGTAACATTCAGTCAAACAACGCTTGCAGACACAACATAATCACACAAACAATAGATACAAGGTCTAAAGATAGTATAGCAGTAAACGTAGATGTTGAATAACTAAACCGACGCAGTCTACACCTACATTTTCTTACCTAATTTTAGCATCGGAAAACACAGCTTGCGCTGCTGTTTCCCCAGCTCAACTACAGCTAGATAGAATTCATCGTCTCTACTCTGGCCCCTACACACAGCCTGCACTCGTAGCAACCGTTAGCTGTTTGCTAAGTAGGTAGCTACGTTTGCTAGCGATGAGTGTAACTATTACCATCGAAATGATGAAAGCCAGATTACCTGTCCAGCAGAAATGAAGCGACCACGGTGTAACTTTCAACCCCTCGGGGTACCTCAGTTGCCACCATCGTTGAAAAGCCACGCAGATATTAGCTACGGTCTGACCGCTTCGCTCGTCAGGTCTGAGATCAGATGTTGAAAGCTATTTAGGGCCCGAGCACGACCGTGTGAGGTCCCTATTGAATTTGCTAAGATTATATATATATTTTTTTTTCCCCCCTGCAAAGTAGGCTCCATTGACGGGGCCTAAACATACTTAAACTCACCAAAATTTGCAAACATGTCAGAACTGGTGAAAAATTTCGTATTTTATGGGTTTCGCGCATGGGCGTGGCAAAATGACTCGCTAGCGTCACCTAGAAAATTGGAAAAGATTATCCCCTCGTTCACGTTCAACCTACATGTACGAAATGATTCTGGGGACATGTATCATATCAAGACGCACAAAAAAGCATCAAGAACCCATAGCCTAAAGTCAACAGGAAGTCGGCCATTTTAAATTTTACGGCCATTTTTGGATGATTTACACACTTCGTACTTTAACGAACTCCTCCTAGGGATTTAGTCGGATCGCCCTGAACACATGTACATGCTGACATTCACCCACAGTCATAGCACCACCTGCTGGCAACAGGAAGTGACTTTTAACGAAGCAGCCCCCGCCGCACGTTTCACCTACGTGCACGAATTTTCTGTGGTACCTGTATTTTGTCCAGACGCACAAAAAAGTCTCTTGAAGCCATAGCCTAAACCCAACAGGAAGTCGGCCATTTTGAATTTTACGTAAATTTTTGGATGATTTACACACTCCTACTTTAACGAACTCCTCCTAGGGATTTAGTCCGACCGACTTCCCGATTTCTGCTGTGCCTTCTAAAGGCATTGAAGATGAAAAGTTGTGCTATTTGAGAGTTTTCGTCAATGGGCGTGTCCGTGCCGTGGCATCAAAGATCAACTCTTTGCTGTGACACAGGAAGTTGTTGTAACTTCAGTATACATGCTCACATCTGCACCAAACGTTACGTGCTTGATAACTGTCCTGCCCAGAACATATCTACACGCCAATATTGATTTACATTCATAGTGCCAAGTGCTATGTTGCGCCACAAAAGGGATACAGGAAGTGACGTATAGCACCTTCATGCGGCGTTGGAACCGCGTAGCAAATTCACAGCCACACCGGCAGAGCTCCAGAATATGCAACGCGGCCGGCTCACACCCCGACGCGCTATAAGTGCGAGGGCCCGCCCAACGCTGCTTGCAGCTTTAATTTTTTTTTTTTCAGTTTTGTAATAGGAGACCAAATACTTAATGAGTCAAAGAATAACTTTAATAACTAATTGTGTTATAATTTCCAATTTTTAATTAGAGCTTGCTCAAACTCCTATTTAATCGCTGGCAGAAACTGGTGCAACAATAACATAAGATTATTTATTCTCGATATGTTGCGAATATTCAGTAAACAGTGTTACTGATTTATCTCCCAGCCATGTTTACAGGCCGTACAAGGTGTAAAGTTACATTAATTTCTACTGCTGATATCAGCAATTGCTTTGTTACACTTCATTAGTTGTTTCCCAGTGATTTGTCTCCGACAGACATGTCACTTACAGGGAGGAGTAAAATGTGCTTCATAACTTTGTTCTAATCTGTGTATTGTTGCGTTATCGGGTTTTAGGAAGTCCCTTCAGTCAAAAATGCCATGGTCTGTTGCTCCAGCATCGTCGCCTAAAACCAAGCAGATGGACAGAGGTCGGAGGGATGATGGACAGGACGGAGGGGCCCTGGTCGTCTAGTCTGGTGCTTATCTGCACTGCCGGGCCTTTTCCCAGTCCAGTCCTGATAACCCGGGTAGACTAGCAAAATACAGGATATGACCCAATAACCCTGCATGGCAGCGGGGACCCAATATTGTTTTATTATGGAGAGGTCTTTTCTGTAAACCTTCCTAACAGATCTCAGAGGGCTTGATGAATGCAGGCAGGACAGCTGTAGCTGCCTCTGTGCTCTGACAAACAGCCATAAATTATGAGACAAAGCTGCATGATGAAACTAGAATGCAACATCCAACCAAAAGACCTGCAATTTTCACAATCATTTTACCAACAATGACCGGTTGAGGTCATGAGAAAGATGCAGTGTATCTCTCTCACACACACACACACACAAACACGTTAGCTAAACTGTAAAACAAGACAGATAACACGTCAGCGTTTATCCTTTTTTATTACCCCTCAAATGAATGCACCAGATGTGTATCACATTACTAACTGAAAGTGACATTTCTTTGCCATTTTGCAAAGCTTGCAGAAGAGACACTCGCGCTCTCTTCTGTACCAGACAGAGTTTTCAGTTGGAGTCCAGACACAGCCACCTGAAACTCATCCCCCTCACGTTGTTTTGCTGTTGGTTCATTCCACTGGATATTTGCCTCTTCGAAATCCCACTGGAAAATATGGACAGGTCAAAATATCATAATGTAGAATTATAAGTAATGTGTAATATTCTACGATTCTTATATAAGCTCCTCATCATACCTTTGTAGCTAATTAATGGTCTCCATAGCTAATCACTTATTCTATTGTGTGTCCAGGGACACATTTTTAAAAATGACTGTTCTATAAATACAATTTTAAGGCCTCACAAGGGGTATGTTTTGGGGTGTTTTGCTCAATTGACTCATCTCATCTCACAATGGTTGCAGTTTGCTCACACAACCATAGCGGTTACAGGCTACAAATACCTTCATCTAGCACTTCATCCTCCCCAATCATTTCTCCAGCACAGAAATATTTTTACTTTTTCTGAGGCCTTGATCCTATTTAACACTGGTTATTTGTAATGAGATTCTGAAATGAAAATAAATTCTACTTTATTTATTATTATTTTTTAATACTCCTGTTGCGTGACAGAGAATAAACTAAATGCCAAAAACGCAAAAACGTTTAGACTTGTTTGCACACAGAGTTAAGTCCAGGCCAGCATTCATCACACAAGAGACCATAAACATGTCCCAAAATAGCAGAGGGTAACACTGGCCCCCTATAGACAAGGCAAACATTTTGCACTACTTCCTAGGCAGACAGGCCCAACCCAATGCTGGTCTTTAATCAAAGATCCTTTACAACAGAACAATTGGCACAAGGCAAATCTCAAACAATTCCACCCCTCACTGTACCCCCCCTCACCTCCACCTCAGTCTCACCCCAGCTAGGAACCGGCACTCAGCAGAAATGCGCAAGAAACCCACAGCACAATAGACAATTCAAGCTGCTGGCTGCAGTAAGCTTGGACTCCCTCAGTTTATACAGGCAGCAAACATAGCACTTCAAAATGTCGTGTGTTTTTATCATGATCAGCAATTGTGTTTATGCCATTTAAAGCAGACACAATTTAAACTCATGTTATGTGTAAATACATCTACAACTATAATGTCCTTCTTTCTGCCCTCAGCTTGATTTGAAACACTTTACAGCGAGTGTAACCTCTGGGTTTAATGTAGTGAAAAGGTTTTGCAACCAAATAAAAAAAGTGGTAATTTTCAAGGTGCAGCCTTGAAATTATCTGGAGTTTAAATATTAGTCACTGTCCCAGCTTGTACAGAAACCATCTTTCCATTAAATCACCAAGTAAACAGCTTATTTTAAGTCTAACTAGCAAGTGGGAAAAGTGCCAGCGAGGGAGGGACTAATCTACGAATTTACCTGATGCAAATTCTGTCTTTGTTCAGAACGTCTACAGACAAGAGATTTGTTCTCCTCAGCAAAGATTAGCTGTTATTATCATTAGGAGTTTACAGATTTGGTTTTACAGACTCTCTGACTAATCTGAGCTGCCCCCAAAACACTGTATATGTGGAAGCTCTCCTCCACCAACCAATGAGAGTCCAGATTAAATAAAGAGTTTTTCTCACAGCCAAATAAAGCTTGCTTTCAATATGTACACATTGTAAATTTGGAAGACTGTGTTAAAGCCCTCTTACTTCTCTAACACACCAACTGTGCTAAGGGTGTTCACATAGTTTGCTTTTTCCTGTTTGGTAAACAGTATCAAGCTGCAATTGTCTGTGTGCACACCATTTGCCTTTGTTTCTGATTAAATGACATCCTCCATAGCTTGTGTTTCTACAGCAGCACAGTAAGGGAGTTTCTCTTGTGGCTGTGAGCGTCAGGGCCTGAAGAGGGAAAAGCTTGTAATTTCATTCTCCCTGCAAAACTCAAACTATGCTATTATAAATGTGAACTGTCCTCTAAAACAAGACTTGCGCACTGCAGAATGAAACCACTTTCCACTTTACTTAAAATCACCAATTAAAATGCAAACTCTGCTTCTCATGCTGCATTCTCTCTGTAAACTTTTACCTACATGCACACACGGGTCTCTCTATAGAGTTTGACTCATCAATCCTCCAAGAACATGCTGACTGTTGTCTTGTTACAAGAACTTCTGACGGCAGTCTGACTTACTTCCCTTAGAGTCACATGTGAAAAGCACAACGCTTTCAGCAGCTCAAACACTGTCCTGAGTGTTCTTATGTTGGGTTTTCATTTGCTTATTATAACTTATGGCATTAATATATGAGGAACTGAATCTCATGTAATCTCACAATGACAGAAGTACATACAGAGGTATATATAGATCTAGAGATCCTTGTGGAAGGTTAAGGCTCAAATATGGACAGAAGACCAAATAACCTTTAAGGTAGGGGTGGTGATTTGTTCAAGAAACTGCATTGTCATTGAAACTAAAGTCTGTGGGCATATCCACTACGACAATTTCAACTAAACACTCTCCATGTGTGTATTTTTACTGAAGTGTATTACTCCCAGGGAAACACACACTGTCATATAGTTAAATCTTTTCAGTTAATCAAACAGTCATCATTCTCAACTTTCACCTGTCTTGTGCAGGGGAACACCCATTACATAAGCCCATATAAAAAGGCAATAAACTGAACAGATTCAGGTCATCATCGCAGTTCACACAAGGTAATATAGCACAGGCTCTCAGTGGCCATGTGCCACCTAATATTTCAACATGCTGTCCCCACCTAGTGGCACACTTTGAGAAGTACACTTCATAGTTTTATTTATTGCCAGATGAGTCTGAGATCACTGTTCAAAACCTTTTCAGTATCCACAAAGGGTAAAATTGCAGAAAATAAGGGAAATTATTGCAGATATATTAGTATAAGTATAGAAATTTACACTGTTTGGATACTTTTTCCACAAATTTCAGGAAATAGGAAGCAGGAAACAGAAAGTAGAAATTTGAGAAATTCAGATGAGTCAGTGTTGCTGATTGAAATGACATGAAAAGGTGAAACATTACTAAGATGTCACTGGCTAAATATGAAATCATATAAATTAAGGATTTTTGATTTTATGTTTTGTTTTAACTGACAACATTGTTTACAGTATCCGTGTAAGTATTTTGAAACATTTATTTTGGATCTCTGCTGTGATTGGTGAAGAAAATTTCATACTGCTCTGACGCTAACAGAGCTGAAAGACTAAAAGATTGCTTACTTTTTTTTACTTAAGTAGTCTGACCCACCTCCAGATCAGAACTCACTGGTGAAGAGTCATAGGAAGTATCGGAGGAGCAGAAACTGTCCACTCGCACCCTCCTGTTGAGAGGCTGCTCCTCCTCCTTGGACATCGTCAACTCCTTAAGGCATATCTGCAAAAAACAATAAACTGTCATATTCCACTGCAAGAAAATATGCAATGAAGACTTCATAACAATTGCACTGATGTTGTTCTGACAGGTTCTTTACTTACTTTTCTTGCAGGTTGAACACTGACATCCATATAGCGGCCCATCTCAGTCATCTTCTGGACATTTTTTGTCTTTGAAGAAAAGGTTGAATTGTACCAATGTTCAAACCAAGCCATTAGTGAAAAAAAGCAATATTAGCAATCGTTTTATGAAAATGATTCAAATCGTGCAGAGGAATGACTGCAAACTTTCAAGCATATATAAGCTGACAAATGCAGACATTAAGGAGTGAAGTGGCACAGAATGTACCATTTCTATATTGTCAAAGTTAAACATAAAACAACAGGTTAGTTAGTAGTTTTTTCATTCAGGGAGACTTGTTGCGATCAAAACCTCTTAACAGAAATTCAATAGGTAATATTGTCCATGCAATAAATGTAGCAGAATATTTTTGAAAGGTTGCTAGAGTTTAGGAAAACCAACCAAACCTTAAACACATCAAGTATGAAAACTTACTTCTGTTTGCGCTGATGAATGAACTTGCTGTTTCCTCTGTCTCTTCATGACAGCGTTATTCTCAGTGGGGATGTGTGAGCGACCTAAAAGGCTCTCTGTGTCTGGAGAAAAACTGGTAGGCTGCTGTCTGGTTCCTCTCTTGCACCAGTGGACGACTAGAACCTGACGATGTTGGATTAAAGGTCCACACATCACACCCGGTTGAAAGTCAGTACAATTCACATAGATTTACGCAATTCAAGACATTATTTAAATCTGAGTGTACTGCAAGTTATTTCCCAGGGATCAAACACTGTGGCTATTATTGTGATGTCCTCCTTTTGCATTTTGTATTGATGACATTTGGTTTTCTGTTTGTGGGAAAAGCTACCAAAGAGTTTTATGTGGCCAAAGCCCTGGTTATGTTTTTTCCTCCCCCGGGAGTGTTATTCTGGTGTTAGGGATCTAACACCAGAATAACACTCACAGATCTGAGCCTGACAGAGTGAGTAAGACTGCACTAAATAAGGATACAAGAAGGTCCAGGGTGACACAGCATATCGCTGACAGCAGCCACGGCATGACTCTTAAAAGAAACCCAAACTGAGTGTCATAGAGGAGTATGGCAGCAGCGTAGAGGGCTCCAGCCAGTGAGCAAATCAGTCCAGAGAACATGTTGGCCCAGGTCAACATCTGTCCCCTGTACTGAAGGGAAAAAGTAAAAGTCATTCCCTTAAAAGCAATTTAACACAGGGAGCAATTTTGGTAAAGCAATAAGAAGAGGCTCTGACACTAAAGCACTCATGTATTGTTTGTCACTTACTGCTCTTAAGAGTGCGGGGAACCTGGAGGTACAGGCGATGACAAAGGAAAGCAGGCCAAGTATGTAACCCAGGATTTCAGTGTTGTCCTGTTCGAAGAACAGTTTGAAGTTGCTATAACGTCAGATACAATACGAGGTAAGGACATTCAGTCTAAATAGACCTGATTTAAGAACATAAATATCCATCCACACAGCACAAATTGAACATGCAGTGAATATATTTAAACAGCTTTTAAAATACAGCACCACACACAAATTTAATTCACTGGCAGATTATTTCAGCAGCTACGGCCTTCCTGTTACGACATGAAATATGAATGTTTGAGTCACTCTACGTCATAACATTAAAAGGACTACATATAATCACTGTGGTGGTGTGTGCTTACTTGGATGGTGATGTGCAGCAGTCTCCTCCCGCTGAGAGGGCCTTCTGCTGGGTGGTGGGTGACCCTGGAATTCAAAAAACCTCCTGCAACCACCATCAACACACACACTGCAAGGAGGTGCTGCCCCCTCCGGCTTCTCATCATCCTCAGCCTCCTTTCTGAGGCAGAAAGGACACACACACACAAACACACAGACAGACTTTTTGCAGTTGGAAATAATGAGACAGTCTATTCATTTGTTTGGTTATCTGTAGAGTGTCTCTGATAAGTCTCACTGTTTTGACTGAAGGGTTTGGCCAGTTGGGTGCCAAACCTAAAACATAACATTTCCCACTTTGTACAGTTGTTAGATTTGTTTGAGAAGTATAAAAGGTTTAAACTTACCCGCTTTTGAGTTCCAGCACAGAAGCACAGGGAAGCAGCAAGACATAAAATTGGCAGCATCCACAGTAGCAGCAATAGCACCCATTAATATCTACAGAGAGGGGTGCAGATTATTATTATTAGTTATTGCTGCCTGCAAAAGATGCCAAGTGCCATCATTACACCTATGTTACCTGAATATGCAGCTGTCTGGACAGAATGGCTCCAACTGTGCTGCACATGTTACCGAGGAGGCTGTAGATGAATGTGATGGTTTCTCCCGGGTACTCAATCCGAAATCTGCACCTCTGATACACGAGCCTTACAGGGTGAACACGGGGTTTTAATGCTAGAAACTTTTTAAATAAATGGCACCAATGCTGTATCCAAAACTACTTACAGAACGCATGAGAACAGGAAAAGCAGCGCAGACAGAGAGATGAGACCGACGGGGACGCAACGTTCGTCTGCGTTCTGGGAAAAACAGGTGGCGACTGAATCCACGCAAAATTCAACCAGACCGGAGAGAAAAGTGTTGGGATTTCCTCGTGTCAATACACGCCCTTCCATATTAATTGCAAATGTGTTTACATTTCGTGCAACTAGGTAAACTAATCCATGGAGCAACCATGCAGCCATGTAGCCGACGTGCAAACTCCTGCGTCAAACTCCACAACAGCGTAATGGAGAGGGGCGTACGTGTTTTAGGGAGGAGCTCACCTGTGATGCACCTACTGTATGTTCAAATAAACCACTGAAGTCTCACCTTTGAAGGCTTACTTGAAACTAACGCTTCCAGACATAAAAAAGTCAAAACAAAGGTTAACATAAGGCCCACAGGGGTGTCCTGGTGATGGAGGGGATTTCTATTTTACTTTTTACACCCATGGCTTGGGTGTAAAAACCTGTACTGCTTTTATGCAACAGTCAACAGTGAATGCATATGCCCTTGTAGATGAATTATTTGAGATAATGTTTCTGTTGTGTCTAACGTGATTTGAATTTTCCATGACATTTGCAAATAAATATACAATTTCTCTTTCCACCTTTGCACTGTATTGCTCTGTGTTCAACCAATGATAACCTCATGGAAACAGAGTAGCGAAGTGACACACCAACATGAAAACCTCAATTTATTTCATAATCCGGCTTAATTACATTAATCACAACCTTATATGGATGAAAACTGTGTCCAACATATAGTCATTTATTTGGTTTATAATGTGTCTTTTGAAATTGCTTGAAAACACAAATTGAAAATGTCCTTTTCAATCTCTTAGAAAATTCACACCCTTTGGATGTTGAGTCCATTTCAAACACTGTGGTGGGATGTGGAGTACAAACTGGTGATCCAGTTGGAATGCTTTGCACCAATATGATCTTCTAACCAGAGCAGTACATGATTATGCACCTCACTTGTTAATATCAAAGGCAGCCTGACCTTTCCATACTCATGGGATTAAGGGGCCTGATACCTACAGATACCGCTCAGCATTAATTCCGTTGGAATCACATGTGAATTGTAATTGAGGATTTTCCCATTCCTGCTGAAATTATCTGTAATTTAAAGTGTTCTGATATCAGATCATCCTCAGGCGTCCAGATGCTTGGTAAGACGGCGTACTTTCTCCTTCTTGTTCTTGTTGCCGTGTTTTTTCCAGGGTTTTCCCACAACCACCTCTGATCCAGCCTTTGCTGGGCCGACAGGTCCACTGCCTGGTTTGTAGCCCATGACAGACTGAACCCCCTTGGAGAGCGCCCGCACATTCTCCTGGAGATAGAGATCCCATCAATAAATCATTTCATTTCACAATCAACAGCCTCTCCGCAGCAGCCATACTTGGACATATTTATGATTTTCTGACAACCACTATTGAGGCATTATTTTTACTAATAAGACAGAAGATGTATCATACCTGGTGGAAGAAGTTCTTGTCAACCACATTTTCAATTCTCCTGATTTTCTGTTGTTTGTTTGATGCGGATAGGTCACAGCTTTCTGAATCTCTGTTCAGGAACTTCTTGTGCTGTGGCTGGAAGTCTTCAACATTAATATGTGGAGGAGGATGGCAGTACAGAAGCTTGCCCTGTAGGGAGTCAATATTTTTAGTATGGCGAGTAAGTCTATTCAAAATGCAAATATTTTAAGTTAATGTGTGGATGGATAGTCAATGATTATGTGATACAAAACAATTTCATATAGCTTATAACTTAACATACTTGTGGCAACTTCAAACGTATGCTCCTACTATACACAAGTAGGTAAAACTACTACAAAATGTACTAGCAACTGTAAACTTTTAATGCTGTTAAGTGTGCAGGCGCCGACCGTGAATGCAGCCTGTTGCAGTCAAGAATTTCCCCTCAGGGATAAATAAAGTATTTCTGATTCCGATTCTGACTTGGATCTGGCACTTACGCTGACATAATCCTTCAAGATGTACCGGGCTGATCTGGACTGATCTGGCTGGCCGTGCGACGTCATAAAGCCTCTCATGTCTAAAATAGAGGGAAACACAAGGATACACTTTATACAGCCCTTATCTGAGAACAGAGTTTTCTTTAGAACACTTTAAATACACAAAAAATGTTAAATGAGCAGAAAAAGAGAACACATTTAAGAGAAACTATGTTGACAAAAACAAAGATGAAGTGGGCAAATACTGTATAAAACCAAGTCCATAAAAAGGTTCCCTCTCACAGCGCATCTCCATACAAGTGCATTTTTTGGCCTATTCTCTATGGCAGTGGTTCTCAAACTTTTTCACATCAAGGTCCCCTAAACTGACACAAATTAGACCACGGACCCCCATTCTGACCTTATTACAGAAGGTGTATGAAACCTGTGACTCAAGTAGTCATATATTCTGTCATTGTGTTACTTATGGATGGAATTATAACAAAAATAATTTATTCTACTTTTTGCTGGGGACCCCTTGGAACTCCCTGAAGGACCCCTGGGGGTCCCCACACCCCACTTTGAGAACCACTGCTCTATGGAAACACTATAAATGTCCCATATTCTCACATCCATAAGCCATCAGCAGCTCCTCATGGGTGGGGTGTCTGTCAGGGTCTTCGTCTTCTCGTGGTCGGATGATGTTGATGCCATAGGTGCCTTCTAACACGAGCCGAGGGATCGTCTGACATATGTGACAAATCTGTTAAGGACTTAACCTACGTCAGCATCCGAGCAATCCTTACAGTTGGAGGTGCTGTTATCTTCATCTTGTTCAAATACAATACTCTAGGTAGAACACTGATTGAACATTGTAAAATTTATTATAGATATTTAAATTTATTGCAGTAAACAAATTAAACTATTGTCACAATGACTGACAGAATAGTATGGGTTTGGTGTGATTACAGTTACCGTAAGGTGTTCACTGTCAGAATTTCTACTATAAATACACATCATACTCCAGACAACAACCTATATCTTGTATTTTTAAGCATTAGGACCACATGTTCCATAAGCCCCCTTGGTTTCTGCTTCTTCAGCTCCTGCTAATGACTTTTCCACAGGCCGCACTTCCCTTCGTTCCACCGTGACAAATTCTACTTTCCCAAATTGCATAGTATGAGCAAGTAATTTTCAATAATTTACTGCTTAAAAAATATGATTAAGATCCCGTAACGTATTACTCTTTTTTATTTATTTATATTTTGACCTGAAGGGTGTGGCTATGATGTTTACTGTAATATGTTAAATATGACCACGCTGCCGGTTGGTGTTGGTGTGTTTTTCTTGTATATGCTATGTCATCTACTATTAGATAACGCTCACAAGTGCTTAAACATTACCATCAATTTGTATATTTAAAAAAAATCATAAAATAAAATTCATTAAAAAATGACTTCATAACATGGCACCTTTATCAACAATTAAAAAAAGAGAAAAAAAGCTGCTGCTGCCATTCTGCAGGTGCTGCGCCAAAAAAAAAAAAAACACATAAAAAAGGATATAAGGGAGACTGCGGGAACGTGATCTCTCATCTGGTCAATGGGCAGGATCCCAGAGCAGATCATCTCGGCTTTGGTAGAAACAAAGGAGGGCATGACCAGCCCTGGGCAGTCACAGAGGCACAGGCCCGGCTCCACATACAGCGTCTGAGATACATGTCAAGAAAAGGCAAGTCAAACAATTACACCTTATGCTTTCTTCTGATGGAGTGAATGACTTTAAGAGGTTTCAAGAGCCATCCTGTACCTGAAAGTGCTTTGTGTGTCCGGGAGTGGCTGAAACGGACACCTTCTTATTCCTTAGAATAGTGTTGATGGTGGAACTCTTTCCCACATTAGGATACCCAACCTGTTGAGTGCATATGTGAAAAACAATGGAATTGCTTTACAATCACCCAATTAACCCATACATGTTCTAGCAATTTCAAAATGTGTGAAAATAAGAGCTAGAGTCAATTTTCTATGTAAGACACTCAGGAAAAACATTCCTGGGGAAGCATGCAATGGATTACAGTGTTCTTACTCTACACAGTATACGTTCCAAGTTCAAGTAAATCAGAAAACTTCCTTCTGCCGTACAGTGTAGGTTACCCACCAGTCCCACTGTCAGTTGTCCATCTTTCCACCTGGGCCCGTTGTGAACAGCCTTAAACATGTCCAGCAGCTCGTCCTTACGCAGCAGACGGCTGGAGTTGCGGAACAAGGAGTCGCTGGATGAACCGGCAGTCCCTTCCTCTTCCTCACCCTCCGAGCAGGTGTGCCAGTCCTCCTCCTCTACAGATATCTTTTCCTGCTGGTCTTCCTCTGTACCACTTTCTTCTCCCTCTCCATCCACCTCCTCCTTCATCTCCTCCTCTCCATCTGCCCCTTTTTGGGTCGACACTTCATTGTCTGGCTGTCCTTCCTGTTCTGGGTCACTCTCTCCGCACTCTTGATTATCCACTTCCATGCCCTGCAAGGAGACGTTTTGCAATTTGATACTGTGTTTAAAAGCAACAAGTCTGAAGACGCTAAAGAGCATGGCTTTTCACAAGCAACTGGTAACATCCATCTCCCCATGAAGAAGGAATGTGGACTTTATCTTCTCCCAAGAAAAAATGTATTAACCCACAAATTATAATTCACAGGTGATGTTCAGAGAACAGCTTCTCAAACCTCCACCTCCGCACCTTTTCCTCTGCATCCAGTCTTTCGCTCTCAGCCAGGGCAGACCAGAAAACTGCCCTCAGCCCCTCTTTCTGGAAGTATCTGGCCCAGGCTCGCCTCTGCTCCCTGGTCAGCAGGTCTGCCTTATTCATCAACAGCATATTCACTTTATGCTCTGACACTTCTTTTACGTACAACTCCTGCCAGCACACAACAGAAAAATTATGCTGAATAAATTGAAGTGAAGTGAAATGTTCAGTTCATCTTTATACAGTATTTTTGCAGGCAGTTTAATTCAGTTTTCTTAATGTGGTTATTTTGCTTATTTAAAATTAACTACATTAAGTATAAATGTTCGACAAATCTTTGAAGGAAAAACTCAACATGAAAGATAACGATAGATACAAGGGAAAACACACCGTATAAAGGGTGACAGAAAACCTTTTGAAAATGTGTAGGTAAATGCAGGGCTAACTGTAATTGAAAAAAAACTGGAAGGTGTAGTCACAGTTTAGTTATTACCCCTTGAGCAGGGGTTAGTAACTGCTTAATGTCAT